GGGGCCATGGAGGACCATGTGCCCCAATGCACCATGCGCCCTAAACCCCAGACCAGAGGTTCACAGAGTGGGCAGAGGGGCCCTGCTCATAGCAAAGATGGGCTCTTGGAGGGGCCCTGTGCTGCCTGCCAGACTGCCTCCACCCAGGGAGGGGGCAGCGTCCACATCCAGTGAGGACTTGGGGGGCTTCCCAGCCTCCTTCCTCCATCTGGCTGGGCAGGACATGGGCCCACAGCTGTCATCAAAGCAGCCCAGGCTTCTTCTTCCTGCTGGCCCCACTCCCTCTTCCCAGGTGTCCTGACCCCAGGTCCAGATTGAGCACTGGCACATTCCCTCTCAGAACCTGCCCCACCTCCACCCTCCTCTCCCACTTGCTGTGCCCACAGGGGCCTCTCTGCTGAGCCCCTGTGAGCAACCCCCAGGTCTGACCCCCTGGGGTGCAGTCCTCAGCCCCCACCCCTCCCTGCTCACGGCCCCTCAGGGTCAGTCTGTGCTGTTCCTTGCAGCTGGGAGACCATGGTTTGTGGACCCCACCCCTCTCACAGGCAGCTCCTGTCCTCCAAGCCTGGTCCCCGGGCCAGCCAGTCCCCACCCAGCCCTTCACCCCACCTCTTGGCCCAGGCCCCCTGGGGCTCTTCTTTCCCAGCATCAGCCCACTCAGCAATGCTAGAATCCTGGGGAAGCCCTCAGGGTCTTGAGGCCAGGCCAGAACCAGTCCTAGCTCAGCCACAGGTGTGACCACACAGACCCCCGTACCCCTAGGTCCCCGGCCACAGTACTAAGCATATGCCCACCAGGGTGGGGAGGATCAGCAAAGTCCTTACCCTTCTCATCAGATCTCAGCATCTTTTAGAAATACCCACTATTGTCACACATTCTGGGGACCCAGCATGTGGTGCCCCTCACATGTGCCCAGGTGGGTGACTGAGCATGTGTGTTGACGGGGCAGCCTCTTCACCATGAGCTCTGATCCCTGCAAACCTCATGGGAGGTGTCCTCTGGTCACTGACACCCTGGGGGTTGGGCTGAGTGGCCTTGCACGATACAAGACCTGCTCCCAGCCCGGCTGAAACCTCTGCCATCTGCCTGCCAGGACCTCCACACCTGGACCGCCCTTGGCTGGCACTGCCGCATCCCCTTTCATGGCCTCAGCCCCCGAGCCCATCCAGGCAGGGGAGTACTTTTAGGGCGCTCTGTGCCCCTGACCTCAACCCCACTGGCTGTTCACCTCCTCCTCCGCTGCCCAAGATGTGGGGCCCTAGACTGCGAGCAATCACCTGGTGAATGGACCCAACGGGCTGGCAGGGGGCCTCCTGCTAGAGCCATCAGCAGCCCAGGGGCACAGCACCTGACGTGGTTGCAGGTCCATTGATCAGAAGTGTCCAGACCAGGGAGTCCCTGGAGACTGTGGTTCCAGGACTGAGAGGCCGCCTGGCGGGCTTTTTGAGTGGGCATGAGGATGTCCTGAAACTAAATGCAGGGGGTGTTTGCACAGCACTGAATACACTAAATGCCACTGAATCGTTCACTTTAAATGGTTAATTTTGTGTTACGTGAATTTCACCTCATTCAAGATAAACTCTCTTGCAAAACATGCCCTCCCAAATCTCATCAGACCAGGACCCAGGCACTGGGGGGCCTCCATGGCCCCCACCCTGCACCCCCCACACCTCCTCCCTCGCCTCCCCACACCATTCCTGTGTGAGCGAGCCCTGGGCTCAGTCGGGAGGCCACTGTGGCCCCTGGAAACAGGGAGGCCTGGCCTCCCTCATGTGCGTCTGAAAAACAAACCTGCCTGGTGCCAGGTGGGCAGCCCCAGAGCACAATTAGACTCCAGTGAGTGGAAAAAAGGGGGTAGTGATTTTCTCAAGCTCCATCCCCAGCGGCAGCCCTGGGCGGCTCAGCAACACCTTCCTCCCTCCGGAGACCAATTACCCAGGTAGAGAGGAGCAGCAGGGCCCAGGGGCCTCATTATCCAGCTGCCTTGGTGGGGGGGTGCCCAGGCAGCCTGGCTGTGCCCCCGGGGGCTGGAAGGTGGAGGGAGCCTGGCTGTACCCAGGATAGCGGGTGCCTGCAGAGCAGCGCTGCCCCAGCCATGGCAACCGCCCAGCTGATGCCAGCCCTGCTTGGGGCCTGGGTTGCATCAGACAAAGACCCCTGGGGGCTCCAGCAGCACCTGGGGCCCAGGTGCACCCCACCCCACACACCCAGCTCCTGGCACTGGTCCAGAGCTGCCTTGGCTGCGTCACCCGCTCCCGTGCCACTGCCTGGCCCTGATAAACGTGGGGTTTTGGGTGGCTCCACTCCTGGCCTCTGTAAGGCAGTCTGCTCAGGTGCAGTCGGGGTCAGCCAAGCTAGAGGCTGGTTCTAGAATGACCTCCTAAGCAGGCCGCTGACCCCCTAGAGGACCCTCAAAGTTCCTGCATCAGGAGCCAAGGCCCACGGCCTGCTGACCCCTTGCCCGCCCTCCATCGGAGCCAGAGAAGCCCAGGGCCTCTGCCCCACACAGCCTGTCACCATGCCCTGAGCCAGTGCCCCACAGGCTCCGGCTCTGAAGACCCCAAGGACCAGACTCTCTGCCACTTTGAGGCAGAAGACATGGGGCCAGGACACCCTTATTCCCTCTCCGCAGCCAACAGGCTCCCGTGGGCAAAGCCGGCCATGGGTCCAGGACCCTCCCCTGTCTCAGAACAGCTGCTTCCCAAAGCATGCCCTGAAAGTTAGGAAGGCCTCGCCCCACAGCACCCCAGGCCCTGTGTCTTCCCTCCTCCCTGGAGGTTATCCGACTCCACCCCACACCTGTTAGGCCAGCCCAGAACCCCACCACCTACAGTCACACATGAACCTAAATTGGGACCCTATCTGTCCAGGATCCTGTCTGTCCCAAGAGAAGACCCCATAGGACAGGGCTCTGCAGGGAGAACAGGGCAGAAATAGCCAAGGTGCCACCCAGGGGTGGGAGGAGTCCTCCCCAGGTGAGACGCTGGGGAAGGGAAGGAGGAGGGGCCTCATGACCCAAAGTGACCTCCTCGCTGACCCTGAATGACCTCATGGACCCCAGTGACTCCTCACTGGTCCCAACTGACCTTCCTGCCAAGCCCACTTCATCCCACAGACCTCACCTGACGTCCTCACTGACCCTACCTGGCTTTAGTGACCCTTACCTAACCTCTCACTGACCTCTGACCCCACCTGATCTCACTGACCTCATCTGACCTTCTCGCTGACCTCATCTGAACTCACCAACCCCCACTTAATCTCATTAACCTTCTCGCCGACTCCACGTGACCTCCTTCGTCTGACCAGGATTTCCTGAGCCCTCGCTTCCTGCAGCACTGGGAACACCTGGGGCTTGTGGGACCTGCAACCCGCCGGGGGGGTGGGCACACCCCGAGTCTTGGGGACTCACCAGGGAAAGAGAAGAGGGCCTTCCAGGAGAAGGGCAGCATGCCCACCAGCAGGGGAAGTGCCCAGAAGGCCATGGCGGGAGAGGAGCAGGCCAGGGGTAGGTCAGCTGGAAGACAGCGGAGAGGCCAGGCAACTTCGGTGGTCTTCACCCTCTGCTGCAGGCCCTGGGAGCCCTGAGGATGTTGGGGGGTGTCTGGGTCCTAACCAAGGCCCTCAGTGCCACGGTCCCCACACCACCACCGAGGCTCAGGGACACCAGTGGAGCCCTGGGGCTGCAGCCAGCAGGCCCCTACCTCTCACATCCTTGCCTGCGGCTGGAGGGGCAGGTCAGGGGCTGGAGGGAACAGTCCACAAAGCAGTGTGGCTGAGGCTGGTGGGGGGCTGGGAGGACTAGGAGGCTCAGATGACCCATTCTGCGTCCCCTGTCCAGCAATTGCCCATCCTGGCAGTGACTTCCAGCTGGCCCAGGATCCCTGGTTCAGAGCAGGGAGGCTGGGAGGGAAGCAGGACCCACCCAGGAGCCCACCAGCCTCCCAGTGCTGAATGGGGGCTACAGGCAAGCCCCGCGGCTGGGAAGGCCCCTCACCGTGTGTGCAGCCTGGCCCCAACATGACTCCAGGCCCCTTCCCTCTCTCCTGAATCTGAGCAGTCTCACTCCAGTTAGATGCCAAACTGTAGCTGCCAATCTGGAACGCAAATGTGAGCCACCCACACAGGCACACGGCTGCCTTGCTTGTCCTGGGCAGAGCCCATCAGGCTGGAGTCAGGGCAGGGTCGCCCCTGCTGGTGGTGCCACTGGAGCATGGGTGCCAGGTGGGAGAGCACCGGCATGTGCCTAGGGCGCCTCCAGGTGCTGACCGATTGCCCACGTGGTGCTGGGGGGCCAAGGAGGGGCTGGGCCTCCTCGTGCTGTGGGGTCGGAGCCCCGGCCCCCTACATGCAGGAGGAGGGCAGGTGGCAGCTGGGCTCAGCTCCACCATCCCTCAAATAAAACCAGCACCGGGTAAAAGCCGGCCTCCGTGCCCGCCCTTGTTCTGCCACCATGTGGGGAAATGGGGAGGGCCTCCCCACCCTCTGACTGGCGCAGTGGCCTGGGGCCCTGGGCACCTGTGTTCCCCTCAGACCAGGCACGTGGCTGATATCCAGGGTGCGGTTAGGGGCTGGGTGTGGTGGGGGCTGGGCTCTGATAGTGGGTCATCTGGGGCTCCTGAGAGGTGGCACATGGGCACAGACGCCGAGGGGTGAGGGTCCACAGGGGCCACCCGGGCAAAGGCCCGGAAGGGGTGGGGTGATGAGGAAGGGTGACCTGGGCCAGGGCAGGCAGGCCCGGGGGCCGGGAGCAGGGCACTGGGTCTCGACTTGCTGCAGGTGGAGCTGAGCTTGCAGCCTGCAAGGGCAGATGCGTGGCGCCAACCCAGGAGAGATGGTCAGAGAGCATGGCACCACAGGGGACGGCGCCACTGAAGGAAGAGAGCTCCTGGGCAGGGGGCAGGGGCCGTGGAGGCAGGTCCAGAAAGGCAGCTGTGAGTTCAGACCAAGGGTTTGCAGCGTGCACTGCATGTGGGGTGGCAGGTGGGGAGGCAGTGGGTGCACCCGGGAGCTGTGGGCATGTGGGTGGTGTTATAGCCTGGGCGCCAGAAGGCAGGGGACAGAGACTGTGGACAGAGCCAGTCAGGTTCAGGGGTCGGGAGAAGAGGAGGAGCCAGAAGGGTCCCCCAGGAGTCGGGGGCCAGGACAGGGGAGCTCAGAAGCCAAAGGACAGCGCTTCAGGGTGGGGCAAGTGACCAGTGGTGTCACGCCCTGAAGATCAAGCCAGACAGTGAACTGAGGGCTGGGGGTCGTGAACCTTGCAGCAGACAGCTGAAGGAGGCTGCCTGCGGTCAGAGGGCAAGGGGAGACATGAGACGCCGGGCCTGCACCACAGCCGGGGCCTTAACCACCAATTTGCTGGGCACTGCCCCACCCAGGACCCAAATCCAGGCGGGCAAGCAGGGGACAGGATTCCTAAGCCTGAGGGTTAGGATTCTCTCTAAGAAAAGTGGCACAAAATAAGAAATGCAAAAGTGGGATGAAGTGTGAATTTTATTTAGAATCTAAAAATAAAACAAATGGCCAATTTTCAGAAGCTAGGTGCCTGGAGGACTGTGGGTTTGTGGGGCCAGCAGCTCAGCGTGGAGGACAGGCCCAGTAAGGGCGGGCTGGAGCTGGGGCGCCCAGGGAGCTCAGGGGCTTCCTATGTGCAGGCTGGGGGCCTGAGGGCCTCTGTCTGCCGGGAGGGGCCGGGGCTGCTCCAGGAAATCCGCGTCTGTGCAAGCTTGGCAGGCGCACCCTTTGTACCAGGAAGTGAAGCGATGCTCACGGTGCCCCCTCGCAGGCCAGCCATCACTGCGGGAATGACGGTGGCAAAGGGTGCAGCCAGGGAATAAAACGGGAACCAGCTGCTCTGGGAGACACAGCAGACTCATGGGAGAGCGGAGACATGGCCCCCCTGGCTGGCCCGGGTGCAAAGCGTGGAAGGGCTGCGACAGCACCTGCTCGGGGAAAGTGAGATGCCCACATGGGGAGTTCAAAGAGGCCAGGGTCTCGGCATCCAGGGATAGGCTGAGGAATGTCACAGACCGACGAGGACCAGAGGGGACAGCACGGTGCCAGTCACAGTCCAGGGCCGGTCCTCTGCAGCAAAGGGCGCCGTCGGGACAAGCTGGGCCTGGCCATATGGGAGGGCGGGGGATGACGGCGGGGAGCCCCCGCTCGGCGGCTGAGTGGCGCTCTGCGGGCATCTGAGTTCCCAGGAAGAGCATGTGAGCGTCAGGGGTGAGGGACAGCCAGCCAGCGACCCGCTCTCAAGGGTCCTGGAAGGAACTCCCCGGAATTGCCACTGGGTGAATCATGCTCCCCCAAATCCATACATGGAAGCCCACCCCCCAGCATGGTGATATTGGGGGCCCTTGGGGATGAATAGGGCTAGCTACAGTCCTGTGGGTGCCCCTGTAAGGAGAGGGAGAGGGGTCCACCCAGGGAAGACCATGATACTGGCGAGAAGACGCCTGCCAGGAAGGGTCCTCGGCAGACACGGAACCTCCAGGCAGCCTGGTCCCCAGCCTCCCGGGCCAGGAAATGTGGGAAACGCCTGTCTCACCGCCCAGTCTACGGTGACATTCTGGCAGCCCAAACAGGCGGGCAGTGTCCTATTTTTGACTTTTCTGCACATTTGAAACTTTTTCAGAAGAAAAACACACCATGAAGGGAAAAACAAAACTAGGTCTCCTGTGCCTGGGTGGGGCCTGGGGGCTCCGTCGATGGCCTGGCTGAGGGTAACCAAATGGACACCTGCTGTGGGGCTCTGAAAAGAGGGGGCGTAGGCAGCCAGGGAACTGAGGCCACGGGTGCAGTTTCCCCTGACGCCATCTAAGAATTATGACCTGAATAGCAGGGTTAGAGGCCTCTAGAGAAGCGGGTGGGGGGTTTGGGGGTGATGGTGGAAGGGGCCCCAAGCAGCAAGGCCTTGGGGGCCCCTGGTTCAGGCTGCAGTGCCTGGGGGTCAGGTTCTGTGCTAAAGAAATCAGTTTTGGGGTGCCTCTGCTGCAAGGTTATGAGGGTTGGGACGGTGTCAGTGACCCCAGACAAGGTAGAGGCCTGGGGCCCGGTCTGGGGCCTTGTAGGGAGGTGAGCGGAAGGCTGACAGAGCTTTGGGGGCCCCCTCATAGCTATGACCCAGCTGTGTGGCGGTGGGTGGGGCCTCTGGGCTCAGGGTGGGTCAGCAGGGTTCTGGGGCTCCCAGTCAGGCCACCCCAGGTCTGAGGCTCCCACTGTCCCTGGAAGATGGGGGCCCCTTCAGACCTGGGGAGGGGCTGGGAAGCCAGGGCCACCCCTCCTTTCTTGAGGGCTGGGTTTGGGGCTTACACCCACGGAAGTGGGGCTCTCAGTGGCGACAGTGACACTGGAAACCTCTGGTTCCATCAGGGCACGACCAGTGTGGCGGAGCTTCCTCCCTTCCTGGCAGGTGTGAGCTCAAGGTCTGGGCACACCCTGTTCAGAGGGTGAACAGAGGTGCCCAGACAGTGTGCCTACCTGGAGGAGGGTCCACCTGCTGCCCCAGGCTCTTGGTTTCTTCCTGGGGGGCTACCGAGTCACTGGGCCCGGCCTTACCTTAGTGGGCCAGACCCCAGGCCCCAGGGGGGTCCTGCAGGGAAGGAAAGAGCAGGGGAGGGCAGGGGGCTCCTGGGGCGGAAAGGGCTCGATTCCCAGCCACCTGCAGTTCTGCAGGGCAGGCATGGAGCCCCACTGAGAGGAAAATGCCCCCCCCAGGGACCTTGCAAGGCCCGCTGAGTGTCCCCCAGCTGCCCGCGGGCCTGGCCTCATGGAGGCCCTCCCCTGCAGGCCCCCCTCCACGGGGCCCCCTGCCTGGACCTGCTGTGCACGACCTGGGGGTCCTTGGAGCACCTCTCCGGCACACGGTCCTCGGAGAGGCTCATCTGCTAGGCCGGCGGCGCCTTGCATCTGGTGGGGGCTCAGCCACGATCAAGCACGAGCCCGTGGCTCTGTGGATATGGGGTCCCTGGGGTCCCATTCTGGCCCCTGAAGTCTTCATTGGCTGGCTGAGCCAGGGGGACCAAGCGGGGAGGGAGGTGGAGAAAGGCTGGAGTCGACAGGCCGTGGGCAGTAGGGGCATCGGCCAAGGCCAGGGTGCAGCAGGGCTCAGCCGGCCTTCCCAGTCCTGGAGTCCAAGCCAAGGCCCCAGCGCTGTGGTCAGTTCTCATCGCCGCCCCTCCCCAGGGGGCAGCCCACTAGCTGCTCTGCCAGTCTTTGCCCAGAGCCTCTGGTGGTGCAGGGCAGCCTTGGGCTCCTCAGGGAGATTCTAGGGAATAGCTGCAGCCGTCAGGCCCAGGTCCCCCGAGCTCCCTCTGGGCCTCCTGGAGGTCAGAGGAGAAGGAGCCGGGAGGCGGGAGGCCTGAGCCTCGAGAGCTGCGCCTCCGGGTGATTTGCCTGAGTTATTTCCATGCGGCTTCAGCTGCACGGAGACTTTCCCGCCTGACTTCCCTCGGAGCTCTCGTTCTGGCAGGTGCTGCACATCTGTGAGCCAGACGAGCCCCAGGGAGTGCCGGCTGGGGTGCTTTTGGAGGGTGGGGAGGGTTCGGTCTGGAAGTGCCTGGTCCATAGCCTAGCATCTAAGGGCACGCTCCAGGGCTGGGCCGGCAGGTCCTGGTGAGGGGCTCCTGCCTGTCTGAATCAGCCTCTGGACGCTGCCTGTGGGTGGTTCTTGAGCATGGGAAGTCCAGGAGCCTGTGTGCTCAGCGTGACACCTGGGACCCCTGGCTCCCCAAATGTGTCCCCTCCAGGCCTGCTCCAGGGGCTCACCCACATGCTGTCCAATGCAGGGTCTGTCATCTGGGCCCTGTGGTTTCCCGGGGCTGGGACCCAGCGGCCCTCCCCACCTGGCCCTGAATAGGCTCCAGGCCTGGAGACCGCCAGCAGTGGCCCTGGTGAAAAACACGTGGAAGTGACTGTGGCCACAGCCCACCTCATGGTCTCAGCCAAGAGGCAGAGGCGCTTCAGACCCAGAGGCCCCAGCCAGGCCCTCTGAAGCGCTGCCCTGCCTTGGGGCCTGAGGCTGTGATCCTGGGGAAGCCCTCGGAGGTGCAGGGCCCCCCTTCTCACACCCTGTCAGGGCTCCTGCTGTCACCAGGGCTCGCCACAGCGATGGGGACCTTGATTGCCTGACTAAGGTTTTTCACCAGTTGGATTTTTTTATTGCCTGATATTTTAATTTCAAATGTTTTTGACCTTCCAGCTCATCATTACCATTGTTGTAAGTCAGAATTAGTTTACATCCACTGACCTTTTTGCTCCTGACGTGCCTGCTTTGCGATCTCCTTCACAAAGATCCGTGGCAGCAAATGTTCCCAGTTCTTCCCTCTTGGTTTTTGTTTGTTTTGCTTTTATTTTAAAGGTGAGGTTCCTTTTTTCCACATTCGTCCTGAGGAAGAGGCTGGGCCGGGAGTTGCTTTGGACCTGCTACCCTGCCGTCGCTGTGGGACGTCGCGGCCCCACGGCCGGCCTGCTTGCTTTTCCCTGGCTGCTTCGGTTTTTGTCCTCGGCTTTCTGGAGGTTCCTTCTGATGACAGGGTGTGGATTCTGTTTGTTTATCGTGCTTGGGATTCACCGTCATTCTTGAGTCTGTATTTTGATGACTTTCAGTTCCGGAAAATCCTCAGACAGCATCCTTTCAAATAATTTCTCCTGTTCTCTTCCAATTCTCTCTGTTTTATATATGTATATATATATTTTATTTTTACCCCCTCTCCTCTATTTGCCATAATGTCTTTTCAAATTTTTTTTGACTCTAGCCTCCATTCTGGATAGTTTTTCTTACCTGTCTTCCATTTCCCCAATTCTCTTTCAGCTACTTTCAATATGATGTTAATCCCATCCATTGAGTTTTAAATTGTGGTGATTCAGTGTTTTCATTTCTACAAACGAATTTGATTCTTTCAAAGTCTACTGCATCATTTTTATAAGCTCCAGCTTCCTGCAGATATTAAACTTGTCTTTTTTGTTAACATAGTACTTTCCACTGTTTTTCACTGTGCCTGATAATGCCAGTATTTGAGGTCCTTGCAAGTCTGCCCGATGCGTTCTTCTGCCGGTCCTCGCTCATGGGGTCTTTGCCTCTGTATGACGGGCTGTCTTTGATCATGTGCCAGTCATTGTACTTGAACAAGTACTTCCAGGAATGATCTGGTGCCTAGGGCGAAGGTTTTTTCTGCCAGGCACCTGGGCCCTACAGTCTGGGACACCCTGACTTGGGGCTCCAGGGATGGTCCCGTAGCTTCAGCTAGGACCACCAAGGCCTCAAGAGACTGTGTCTGCTTTCATTTCCTCCTCAGCAGAACCCTTGGGGCCCCCACCTTCTGTCCTGTTAGATACACACCCTCACTTAGTGGGGACCCTGAGCTTTCATTTCTGTCCACGAGTGCCTCAAGGCCGTCGGGGCAACAGCTCAGTCTGGGCCCTGGGAGTGCTGCCTGTGCTCAATGCCTCTCAAGGCCAGGGGTTTCCTTTGGTTTCAGCCCGGTGTGTCCTGGCTAGTTCCTTGGCCTATGGAGGCTTCAGGAGGATGTCTCAGTGTCTTAGTTGTTTTCAGGGGGGTGGCTTGCCCAAGAGCCTCTGCCCTGCGACGTGGAGGCAGCTTCGGGCCACGCGCCCTCCGTGGGGTGCACCCTCTCTCCAGGTCCCTGGGCCCCTCATCCTCCTGCCGGCTCCTCTGTCCCCAGTGTGGGTCCGTCACCCGCTTGCCCAGCAGGAGTCCTGGCACAGTGGGCCCTGACCACGGCCTCTGCAGGCAGCATGGACTCTCCACTTAGGAAACCCTCACCGGACCCCACCTGCCCAGTTAAAACCAGCAGGAAGTCTGAGCGGAGACCACTGGACACTGGGGAAGAGCTGCACCTCTAGGTGACCTGGGGCCCTGGTCTCCATCCACACCTGCCCCTCCCACTCCACAGCACTGACACCCTGACCCACTGGCTTCCAGAGACGGGCTGTGGTGGCCACGCAGAGCAGAGGCCGTGAGGGCACATGGTGGCCAAGGAGGCCTCAGGGCTGACCGCCTCCTCTGCACCTGGAGGCCACTGGGGGCCTGTGGGGGGTTGGGGGGTCTCGAACACTCAGGAATAAATGGATAGTCTGAGGACCAGGAAAAGGGCTGCTCAGCAGAAGGCCATGTACAAGAACATTGGACACAGGGTTCCTGGCCCAGTGTTTTCTGGATGCCGTGACCAGGTGTAGCCCTCAGGGAGACAGGCCTGGGGATGACACGGTCTCAAGTGGAAGGGGTCAAGGTCAAGGCTGAGTATGTCTGCAAAAGCATGCCATGGCATTGGGGGCGCCTGCGGGTGTTGCTGCCATCCCTGCCCGGCCACTGGGGCCCAAGAGCACAGCCCAGGGCAGGAAGGCAGGGAAGGGGTGGTGGGACTGGTCCGGGAGATCTGCAGAGGGGTCCCCAGGGCTGGGCTAACCCTCACCCAATCTGGGGCACATCTGAGAGGGGCCTCAGGGTGCGAACAGCCTGAGCTTTCTGGCTTGAACTCTCGTGCCCTGAGCTCGGGGCCTCCAACAGGTCCCTGGCCATGGTGTCCGATGGGAGGGGCCAGGGCCTGAAGAGGTGGCAAGACAAAGCGAAAGGTAGGAGCAGGAGAGCCCCCTCTCTGGGCTGCTCTCCATGGCGGCAGGACCACCCTCCTGCACCAGGCCAAGCTCACTGTCGGCACAGCGGGGGCTGGGGCGGGGAGGAGGGGTGGCGGTGCCTGGCCAGCAGAGCGTGTGGATTAACAGCAGGATGCAAGGCTGGAGGCCTGTCCAGGAGTGGGAAGGGGTCTCTGCTGCATCAGTCAGCTCTGAGTGGGAAGGAGGTGGCGAGGGGGTTCAGCAAAGACCCCACCAGGAGGCAGAGCTGGTGCCTGTGTGGGGAGTGCTTGTCCTGGGCAGAACCCCCAAACACTAGTGTCTGCTCTGCTGGGCCCGGAACCGGACCCTCCTCCCAGTCTCCTGACATACAGCATGTCTGTGTGGTAGGGCAGGGCCGGCTCAGGTAGCCAAAGGCAAAAATCAGCAGGTGGGGGGAGTCACAGGTCCTTCCCCACCCAGATCAACACCCCTGACCTGGCAAAGGGCCAGGAAGGGGAAAGTGACACTTGCCCCCTCTCCACACAGATGGGACCCCTCTCAGCCTGGCCCCCAGTCAGAGGCTGGGCCACGGGTGGGGGTGTACAGACACCATGAGGCTGTCTGTGGAGGCCGCAGTACAGGAAGTAACCGAGCCACAGCACAACGGCCCTTTGTCCTGCCTGCCCCACCCAGGGAGGGCTTGGCCCCAGCCAGGGCTGGGGGGTTGGGGACTGGGCCCCCCAGGCCAGCTCTGCCACCAGCCTGACTGTGTCTCCGAGTGTGGTGGTGGCCTTTGTCACCCCTCCCAGGTTAGGCCTCTCTGTCCCTGGAGAGCCTATCCACCCCCACCATTGCCTTGGCAACAGCTACACCAGCAGGTGGGCCGGGCCAGAACCTTTGTCTGGCAGCCACAGGATTCTCCAGCGACCCTGGCGCCCAGCACACTGCTGCCCACTGGGCCAGATGACGTGGGCCTGGTGAGCCACGTGGAGCCGCAGCTCACAGCCTTCCAGGGCTTCGGCTGGCAGGGTCCTGTGGCTCTTCCCTCGGTGACCAGAACTGCAGGCCCCAGCACTGCCCCGTCCACACATCCTTGAGGCCTAGGGGACAGGGGACAGCCCCAAGGGGCCTGTGCCCAGGACACGAGCTGGGATCTGCTGCAGCCAAGGACTGGGGGCAGCCAGCTCAGGGCCTCGAGGCCGGCCAGCCATTAGCAGAGCTCAGAGGCACCTGAGGAGACGTCTCCAGGGCCCAAGCTGGTGGGGTTGGGACACAGCCTGTGATGACCCTAAGGGCAGAGGGAATATCTCAGCTGACTGTTTGAAACAGCAGTGGGATGCATGCGAATCCTATCCCTGCTGTCAAGCCCCTTCTGTGGCCATCCGTGCAGGTGGCTCCGTAGTCTGACCTCAGGTCCTTGTTCCTGTACATGGACGCAGGCAGAGCAGTGCAGGGAGCGGCGAGTGGTCGCTGCGAGATCAGACAGCAGGTGGTCAGCCAGACCAGAATCTTCTCTTCAAAGTGGAGACCAGGGAGACAGTCACCATGGGTTTTACTATCCAGGGGCACTCATGCTGAGCCACTGGCCATGCCACACAGTGCCCACACCTGCCTGCCACACAGGGCAAGAGCTGGCCTCACTGCAGGCAAAGCTGGCTGCGCATTGGCCTTTCCGCTCCTGGATGAGATGCTTCAGCCACACGGCTGGGCTGCTTCCTACCAGGAGAGTGAGTTTGCTGAGATCGTTCCCCGAGTGGGAGAGGAGCAGATGGTGAAGGGCCTGCACGCCCCAGGGCTGGGCACAGCCGCGTCCTGCTGATTCAGAGCTGTCTGGTGGAGCCCCCTTAATAAGCTCCTGCAGACAGTTGTGCGGGTTTCAGTTCTGAGCCAGGCACAGAGCAAGACCCATGGCATGTGTGTGCTCAGATCTTCTGAACTAAGGGGGCATCCTGAGCTGGCTGGCAGCGGGCTCAGAGGGCTGCAGCAGGAGAAAGCAAGCCACTGTCTGGGCGCTCCCAGAACCCGCGGAGGTGAACTTCCCGCACCTCCCACACTGGGTCTGATGTGGCTGGCGACACTGAGAACCACATGCTCGTCTCACGAGGGGGCCCCCTCCCACTTCAGCTCCTGCTCCTTCCCTGCTGGCATCAGACATGGCAGCGAGAGGGGCGGGCCTGGTCCCCACCACGTCCCGGCATGGGGGAACTCAGCGGACCCTGGCCAGGGCTCCCCTGGCCCCCCTCAGCCTCCTGGGAGCTTCTGGAGTCTTGCCGTACCCATCAGCCCTAAGCTGACATCTCCGGGCTGAGCCCGGAGGCTCCGGACGCAGAACCAGGTGCTCTGTGGGTGTAGCTGAGGCCGTGAGCAGAGGGTGGGGGGAGAGCCTGGGAAAGGGGGTCGGTGGCGGCAGCCGGCCTACGCTCCCGTCCATGAACAGCACTGGGTTAGAGATTACTGCTTCACTCTCCCCAAAACATGGGTGCCCGCGGCCTTGACCCCACCTCCACACAAACATGGACAGCCGAGTGGGCATGGGGTGGGCAGGTGTCAGCAACCTGAGGAGGGGCGTGCCCTCCACACCCTAGGCTCTAGGCTCAGGTCACTGAGGCTCCTGGGACTGGCCTCCAGCTGCCCTGCCCTGGGCCAGGAGACAGGCCCCTGGCTGCCCGGCAGGAGGCAGGGAGAGCCCAGCACAGCCCTTTGGGGCACAAGGCCGGGGAGCAGAGCAGCTCCGAGGGGTCAGTGGGGGAGTTCTAGGCTCCCCGCCAGGACCCCAGTGATCCAGGCCTGTGGTCGCTGCTGGAGGGCAGTGTCCTCTGAGTGTTCCTGTGTGGTGGGCACAGAGGCACCCACCGGGCAGCAGTTGAGGGAGCCTTCCGTGGAGGCGACTTGCCCCTTGGCCATGTCTGTCCCTGGAAGGAAAGGTGAGGCCCCACGAAGACCCCCTCCTAGGGTGCAGCGAGCCCAGGAGCCAGCAGCCCGGGGGACAGGCCCTTTGTCATTAGGAGTTCTCAGTGGGGCTGCAGGAGTTCGTTATGGAAAATCGTTGGGCCCTTTGGGATCTCTGCTGGTTGGGCTAATTACTGGGATGTTGTCATTTCGTTCCGGTTCCTTCCGCTCAGAATGTGGGGGTGAGTGTGGAGTCTTCAGAGTGCCAGAAGGATCACCCCCAAACTTGACTAGGGCCCTGTCCCTCCCCACCTTGGGCTCCCAGGCCCTTCCGAACTCCAACATGAACGCTTGCACCCCTAGCCCAGGCCTCCTAGAACGGGAGGTTGTGGGGCTGGGGCTACCCCCTACCCTCCTGGAGGGCCCCCACTTCTCAGCAGCCTTGCCCCCAGTGTGTGGGTCTGTGTGACACACACCTGGCTCTGTAGCCACCTGCCTGCAGGACTGAGCTGGGCCGCAGGAGAGGGGTTCCCAGAGGCCCAGGCTCCACCCTCTGTCAGCGGGAGCTGTAGCTCCCAGGGGTGGGGGCCCCTCCCCGGGGGAAGCGGAGGGGGCAGGGTGGCCCCGCCCTTGCCAGTGAGGCGGTGCCCAGTGGTCTGGGAGCTGCTGCCTGGCCCTCCTGACCACCGGCTCGCACGCTCCGCTGGGCTCCTGCAGAAGCTCTCTGCCCCGGGTGTTGTTCAGCCCAGCCAGCAGGCCAGGCAGGGGCAGGAATGTGTGTGGGGCCTGCTGCCCGCCCTGCCGCGTCACGCCGCCTCTCCCTCCTGGCCTATGGGAGCCCAGGGGACACACCTGTTGGCGGCCAGGAGCGGAGATTGGTCGGCTGAGCAGGCACCTGCACGGGGCGGGGTGAGGCCCTACATGTAAGGGGAGCCCGGGGCCACGCCGCCTCTTCCCTGCCTGCCCCTGGCAGCTGTAGGAGGGCCAGCAGCCGACTCCATTGTTCCCAGCCGCTCCCAAAACTCTCCCCACAGACCTGAGAGCTGTCCACCTGCACACATGTAAGCTTGGTTTTTCCTTGTGTGGAGCCTCAGCTGCAGGAGGTGAGAGGCTGGTCTCCTGAGCTGCCCAGAGGCCGGATCTTAACTGCGGGCAGGTTGGGCCAAGGCCAAAACCGGGCACCCGGGCTGTTGGCCTCGGGCTGGCAGGTATTTGGGGTAACCGGAGCAGAGTCTCTCTGGTACCCATTCTGAGGCCTAGTGGGTCCTGGGCACAGGGAGAGCACTGGACGTGCCGGCCAGGCTGCTGGGCTGCGGGTGGGGAGTGGCCTCCCACCCTCCTCCAGGCTCGGAACCTGTCAGGGCAGGTAAGCAGAGGAGGTGGAGGCCAGGAGCCCAAGGAGGCTGGCCTGGGGCCGTGGCTGCGGGGGGGGGGCCTGCATGGTGGCAGAGTCCAGCCCAGCGTCAGGGCTGGGGGAAGGGTGGTTCTGGGAAGGCATGGGCACCAGGGAAGTGTGTGTCTTCCTGCCCACCCAGAAGGCAGCTCGGGTCGCCAACTGCAAGGGTTCCTGCCTTCCACCTGGCTAAGGGACCCCCTGGAAAGCTCTCTCCCGGATCGGACACTGAAAGTAGTGGTTGCTGAGGTTCCCTGTCCTCGAGCGCAGGGTCGGGAAGGCCTTGGGTGCCCATAGTACTGGGGGTGCAATTCTGGAGCTTGCTTGTGGAAAGTTGGGCTCGGTGTTGCCAGCAGCCATGCTGGTGATGGGTGACAGCCAGAGCATAGGGCAGTGGCCAGTCAGGCCTGGATTCGGGCTCCTTCTCACTCGCTCATGTCTGAGGCATAACAAAGCTGGACCCGCCTTGGAGAAGGTGTAGGCAGGCCCCCGCCAGGCCAGGATGGGAGGCAGGTCCAAAGTCTGTCCTGCAGATTCTTAAATGCAAGGCAACCCTGCAGCCACACAGACACCATGCTGCCGTGGCCAGGCACAGCCAGCTTTGACTGTGCGGCGTGGCCCCAAGCTGCCCGCTCAGCCAAATCGCTGGCTTTTAGGCGGCTGTAAAGTTTAGGAGATGATAACTCTGACAGAAGAGGCTGGGGGGCAGGATGCAGAGTTCATGTTCTTGATGAACATGCTTTAAGAGCATAATAATGTTTTAATCCCGCAGAAGCATTTCAGGCCTTTTAGACTGAGCATCGGGAAAGTCGGTTTTGTTTTGTTCTGTTTGGCTTTTTTCTAGTAACCTAGATGAAATGCTTACAGTTCAGAGCGACTGGCAGCACGCTGAATTAGGCAAAATGCAAAACAACCATAAAAAATGGACACAGTCTGCTGATAGTTTTCAAACATCTTGGTACTTTGCAAATACCTCATTTGCAAAATCAGTTTGTAAAAATGTTTTTAGTGAATTTAAGAGAAGGTGAATGGCCTACAGATGTCACCCGCCCCCTGAGGAATCTGGCTTGCTCTCTGAAGCAGGCAAGTGTGGGCGTGAGTGTGGTGCCCGCAGAAGAGGGGCTCAGAAACGATGCCCGCCAGGTGGGGGAAATGGAGGCTTTGCCTCACGGCCGCACAGCTCCAACAAACGCTGAAGAAATGCCCCGTGCGTAGACAGACTGGCCCTTGGCTCCCCTGCACTCCCCCCCCTCTGCCCCCACAGCCTCTGGGCCCAGCTGGCTGATCCAGCCCTGCACGGGGTTGGCTGGGATAGGGTTTCAGCGCTTTGTTCTCTGTGCAGCCCTCACCATTGATTAAGGCTGTCAGGCAGGTTAACGGCAAGCTGATTTTCCACGCTGGGATCACGTTGCCCTCCCCACCCGGGGCCTGTGCAGGTGGGACCTGCCTAGGGCCAGCAGGTGGGGTGTTTTCTCTGCACAGAAGAGCCAGGAGGAGCTGCTCTGGGCCTCTCGATTCAGTTTTCCCAAGTGAGCCTGGTCATGATGGAAATGACTCAGACCCGGCCTCTGGGGGCTAGAGCAGCAGCTACTGGCCAAGGAAGTGCCAGCTGGGACACCCAGAAACAGGGAAACTGTTTCCCCTGTTCATACCCACCAGCAAGGCTGGCCGCTCCTCGCACTGCGCCACAAGCAGTTAGTCCGGGTCCCCGACCCCGACACTGAGCTGTGCTCAGAAGCCCAAGCCCTTGGTTTTTCCTTGTGGATTTACAGGTTCTGAGTTCAGGAAGAGAGTGGATTCTGCCCAGGAACTTAGGATGGAGCATTCTGTGCCTGCCCACCCCGGGTCAGTCTGTGTATCTGTTTGTCAAACTCCTCTCTGCCTCCTGGATGAGAACGTAGTAGCCATGAGCGGGTGGGCAGACAGTGGGGGTGGCCTGTCCATCTGGCTGGCAGCCAGGCTGGCTCCAGGCCCAGGAGACTCCAGGCCCCCTGCGCTCCCCAAGGGCACTGGGGACACGAGGCTGCAGCTCCAGAAGCTATGCACAGAGGCTGTCCCCTCGGCCAGTCCCCTCAGCCAGTCCCCCGCTGTCCTCCCACAGGGGCCCGGCAGCAGGGACTAGAGCTGAACCTGGCTCGGCTCCGAGAGCAAAGTTGGAATGGTTCCTCTTAGGTCAGAAAATGTGAAATCGCCCTCCTGAAGCACAGTGACTTCACCGGGTCCCTGGAATAGAGCTCGGAAGGTGAGGTGTTGAGCCAGGAAGGGAGGGGCCCAGGGCCCTGAGCGTGTACATGGTCACCCGGAGGGTTCAGACACCTGCAAAGACCCCTGAGGCTGGGCATTCCACTGTCCCCCAACACTGGCCAGGGTTAGGGTCAAGCTCTCTGAGACGTGCATGCAGGCTGTTGCTGAGGACGGGTGGATGCAGTCTATGTGGTCAGCTGGGAAGCCAGGTGCATTGGCAAGGACCCATACCCTACCTGCAGCCGCAGAACCTGTGAGGCAGCTCCTGCAGGCTCTCCGTCCCAGGTGCCACTAGGGGAGCAGATGGGGGACAGGAGAGGGATGGGAGGCCCGCCCAGGCAGGGTGCCAGGTCTCTCAGCTCCAGTCAGGGTCCCAGATGTGGGCCCCAAGCAGGGTGGAGGTCACAGAGTGGCCCGTCTTCCTTGACCCGCAGCTCTGAACACCTGTCCCGGGCATGCCTATGAGGGCCAGCTTGCAGCCTGTCCCCACAGGCACCTATAGGAGGTGCTCACCCTGCATTTTGTGTTTGGGGCCTGGTCCCCAGTCCAGGGGGCACACAGGCCACAGTGACTGCCAGCACAGACTGGTCAGGGCCCCCTGCTCGCACCCCTGCCGCGGGGCCAGCGGAGGCCATAATCCAGGGCCAAGTAGCAGTGGGGTGGGGGACAGCCTCATCTGTGAGCCAGCTGGTGGGCAGTGAGCACAGTGGAAGCTGGTGGGGAGCTGAGGAGGACCCCACTCCCTCCTGGTCCCAACGCCCTTCCATGCCCTTGGCAAGGGCAAAAGGGAGCCGGGCTGGAAACAGCTGTTGGGGCCACGTCCCACCACAGCACCCCTGCCAGCCTCAGGCACGCTCATCGGGGACCCTAAGGACACCGTCCTGAGGTCCAGGCTTTCCCTGGGACAGCCGAGAGGGAGGATCCCACTGTTCCTGCCCCATGAGGCCACCAGCCTCCTGTGGGCAGGACACCCTGGCCCCTCTCGGGTACCTACCCCATGGCCAGAGCTGGTGGCCAAACTGGGCCGGGTGGGCAGACAGGGCAGGAGTCACCCTATGATTCAGGCCTCCAGATGGGGCCTGCGTGGCCCCATAGCCTTGGGGTCCTCTCTTGAGCCCCTGCGCCTCCCACCTCAGCACTCTAAGAGGATGTGGCTCTACCTCAGGCTGCCAAACACCCATCAAGCCCCTCTTGACCTCAGCGGGCGGCCCCCACACCCAATTCGGGGTGGCCATCGCCATCTTACTGGGCAGCATTGGATGGTGTCCAGTCTCTAATACTGCCTGGTAATGATGACAGTGGGGCCCTGCTTGCAGCAACGGGGCCGCCCTCCCTTCCCCATGGAGGCCCCCCGCGGCCACAGCCCCCCTGGAGCGGCCTACCCACCTGCAGCCCCACCTTGCTCGGCCCCAGCGGCTTCTCAGTAGGTGGGGCAGGCCCCTACTGTCTGAAGCCCCTTCTCAGTCCCCAAGGGTGAAAGGCTTCCTGCGGCTGCACCGAGCACCCCCTCCACATCAGGAGGCTCAGGTACCCAGGCCCTGCCTTCCCCGCCCAACGGGCTGCACACACCTGGCAGGCACAGGCTGAGCAGGGCCACATCAACGGGCCTGGAGTAGGGGGTGAGGGGCCACCTTGCAGAACTGACCGGCTCACCTCCAGCCTGGGCAGAGGTCTGCTCACCCTGGGCGGGGGGGCAGCGAGGCCCCCTTCAGGGTCCTCACCAGCTCCCACCCTGGCTCTGCCTGCCCAGGGGCGGGCACCGCGACTCCAGCCCACATCCTCAGGCCGAGGTGCACCTGGGCCTCTGTGGGCATCTTACCGGACAGTGCTGGATTTCTCCACTTAACTCTAACACTGTCTGGTAACGATGTTCAAAGGTGACCCACCACCCACTCGCCAGGAAGTGGCCCAAGGACATGCCATCCCAGCTCCTGGACTCCAGAGACGGGCCAAAGCACAGGGCCGGTCAGGGACGGGAAGACAGCCTGACTCAGCTCCACAGCCCGGCCCACCCAGGGGGGCCTCTGCCTGAGGGTGGGCTCTCCCTGCAGCCCTGCCAAGCCAGGCCACACCAGGGCCGTCTGGCCTCTCCTGGCTGGATCCTCAGGGCGATCTGACACCTAGGAAAGACCATCAGGGCCAGGACACCAGGCCTGGAGAAGGGCTGCTACCTCTGTCCTAAACACGGACCCCAGCACCTCCCAGCCCAGCCACTGGGCTCGGATGTATTCACCGAGGGAAGGCTGAGGGCTTTCAGCACACAGGTCGGCGGCCACACAGGAAATGCCCTTTCTGTCTGGTCCAGGCTGGTACCGGCAGTCCCTGCCTTCTCTTCCCAGACCCTGCTTGTCCACCACACAGGGCCAGATATCCACTGTGGCTGCCCTGGGCACCCAGCCACCCTTGCCACTGGGAGCGGCCCTGCCCTTAGGGGCCCCAGTCAGGTGGCCCCTCCCACTTCAGGGCTCTCTGTCTGCAGTCCTCCAGGGACGCAAGAAGGACGGGTGCTCTGAGCCCAACCCACAGGCCGAAGGCAGGAGGCGCTCCGAGCTGTTTGCTGATGAGGACAGTCCACTTCTCCCCTCATCGGCCCCCACAGTGTTGCAGGCGAGAATGGGGACATTGTCCTAGATCTGAGAGGCCAGGATGGACCTTTGTTTGGTTTTTTAATCTGAAGCCAAGACACCAGCCCCCAAACCTGGCCAGACTTCCGGGCCTGGGAACCCCACCCTGCACTGGCCCCAGCTGGCCTCTCCAGGCCTTGCTGTTACTCATTAACCGGCAGAGAACCACTCAGGAAACCGGCGAGGGGGCCACAGCAGGCACATTCTAGACCGAATGCAGGGTAACCATACTTCTACCCACAAACACATCACCTGGGGGACTGTGTGCCAAGGTTCGGTCTGGGGTGAAGACTCAGGGGGCCGGGGGGCCACCGTCCAACCAAACCTCCCTGCTTCCTCGGCGTGCCACAGGGTGGGCAGAGGGAAAAGCCACCCCAGGCCCTCCCGGAAGGCAGCCTGCCGATGGGCGTCTTACCAGACATGGTTAGATCTGGGTTCTTCTGTCTAATACTGTCTGGTAATGCCGTCCATCCACGGCCCGATCACCGCCAGAGGAGGGTCCTTTCACCGGACACAGGGTGGAAGGTGAGGCCCGAGGTCCAGCAGGTGCTGTGGGCCCAGCAGTGGCCCTGCGCCAGGTGGCGCACACCTGCCCAGGCCTGGGACCCTCATGGCCCCAAGGCCTTGCTTGCACGCGGACCTCCCCAGCCCCCAGGGCCTTGCCAGGGGAGCCCTTTGACCCCGCAGTAAGCTTTCTGCCACAGCCATAATGGATGCTGGCATAATAAAGAGGTGAGGCCCGAGCAGCTTCTGTTCACCAGGAGCACGAGTGGACAGAGCTGCCAAGGCCCCCCGCTGAGGGTCTGTGAGCCAGCAGGCCAGGTGAGGCCCGGGGGGGGCCTCTGGACCCCTCTCCAGGGAGGTGACCTCACCCCTCAGTCCCTGATGAGTACCAGGCCGGGGGCCTAAGCAGGACAAGACAGAAGCAGCCTCGGCCCCTCCAAGCCTTCAAATCCCCAGCCCAGAGGCGGAAGGACACCCACGGCCAGCAGGGCCCCCACCTCAGGCAGCACTGGCACCCTGCAAGACGCTGGGAGTGGAGACCCCACAGATGGGACCCACCCTCAGCCTAAGCATGAACTCAAGGGAGGGGGTCAAATGGACAGGGGTGTCCGCTCAGAGCCGCCATCCATTCCCTAAGGCCCATTCTGGGACTTGGGAGGTCGGTGGCTCTCCAGGTGCGGGGCCAAATGACCCCACAATGCCAGGGTGGAGGCGCAAAGCCCTCAGCACCGACATGCCTTCCAGCCCTGCAGCCCCTGGTTGCCCCTGCTCAACACTGAGGGTCACCAACATGTCCTCCGCCTAAAGCTATCCCCAAAACCAAACTTCTGGAGGCTGTTCCCACCGCCAGCCCCGGGGCTGCCCCCCAAAGCCCCTTCCTTCCCTTGAGAATTCCGAGGAGGTCCTGGGGTCCTGACCCATGCTTCTGCAAAGGACCCACTGAAGACAGAGCCCCAGGTCCTGCGGCTTCCATGGGGACAGAAGGTCCCCTCCCTGCTTCCATCACCCCCGTGCCAGCCTGTGCAGCTCTAGGAGCGGGGCAGGAGGATGGTCCCTGAGAGGCGGTGCCAGGTGGGGACAAGGCTTGGGAGCAGGACATGTCAGCCTGGGCTGCCTGTACTGAAGAGGCCAGACCGGTCGGGAAGATGAGGAGATGAGGTTGTGGGGGGCAGCCAGGAAGGCTTCTCCAAGCAGGGGACCGAGCGGGAACTGTGCAGACACCTGCAGGAACCAAGCAGAGGCACCCGAGGCCAGGCCCAGCTCAGCCAAGGCACCAATTCCCCAAGGGGGCCACAGCCTGACCTGCCCTGAGGCCAGACCCCCAGTACTGCCGCAGGAGGGGTGCTGGGCCTTTCCGCCATCCCCCTGGCCCAGAAGGTGGGACGGGACTGTGAGCCTGTGGCCCAGAGGCCCCCACAACCACCCGCAGAGATGGCGAGTTAAGGATTCTGCCACCTTACTGCAGGCTGCAGGTGCAGAGATAAGCCCAGACCCAGGGCGACCCCCACACCATCCAGTTTTTCAGGTTAGGAGGCAGTTTTCAAGTTTGAGCTTGGCATCACAGCAAGGGCAAAGGGCCACCTCTCCAGAACCCATGGGGAGCCTGCATCCTGGGCTGGCCCAGGAGCCCCCAAGGGTTCTGGGGACCTAGCAGTGACAGGAGGACCCTAGTGGAGGATAGCCGTGAGGCTCCGAGGGTCTGTGCTCAGGCTGAGGGGAAGGGGACCCACATGCAGATGACTGGGGGACAAGGGCCAGCACCCCCTGCGTCTGCCCCCAGCACTCCCAACATCATGGTTTCCCAATCTGCTGGCCCACAGGGCAGAGGGCTTCAGACCCAGCACGGCTGGCACCTGAAGGCCCAGCTCTGGCGTGGGGCAGGCGTGGGGCCAGGGGGCATCCACATCTGTGCGGGGTCAGGAAGGCCTCCCCGTGGAGGGGTGCCACTCTCATGGGACCCTCAGAAGTGAGGGGGTTTACGGTTTATGGAGGAAATCAGTCTCCCAGGGCGGCTGCATCGAATATCACAGATGGGGCTTCAACTCCCAGAAGTGTCTCTCGGTTCTGGAGGCCAGAGACCAGAATCGAGGTTCGGGAGGGTGCTCCCCGGGGACATGCCTGGGCTTGTGCCTCGGCCCCCCACCCCCAAGTGGCCTCTCCTCCCAGGCCCCCTCTTCCCTCCTGGCTTACCATGTCTACAAAGATACTTTTCCTAAGGGCACAGCCTCAGGTCCCAGGGATCAGTACCGGGACATGTCTCTGGGGGCCACACCCGGCCCTACCAGGAGCACCCTGAGGAGAAGCATCCTGTACCCCATACAGGACTCCGGAGGTGATGAGGCCCGGGGCCAGAAGGCAGCCTGGGGCACCACCCAGAGCCCTCCTGGTATCCCAGACCCAGGAGTGAGCCCCCACTCCTGTCCTGTGCAGTGGGGCACCACATGCTTGGTGGCGAGTGGCGATGAAGCATGGTGAACGCAACACGGGGACGGGCCCTGTTTCCAGGTGTGGATTTGGGGGTCTTCAAAGGCTCAGGACTGGTCCTGCAGGGGACAGAGGGTCCGGGTGAGGGCTGTGCAGTGTCCTTTCTCCAGCCTCAGTCACCTCCGCCCTGCTCCCATGGCACCTGGCGTCCCACCCCTGCCCGTCCACCTGCTCACCTCTGGGCCACTGCGTCGCGGGTGCCCAGAGACAGTTGCCAGGTCACCACTGCTGTTTCCCCGGCAGAGGGCTCACACCACTTTGTTGGGCAGGTAGGAGGGACAGGTGGGCCACCAGTGGGGGTCCTGGCTGGGCGTGAGGGCTAGGGTCTGCTGTCCTGTGTCCCCATCCGGCTACCAAGGATGCTGTGGTCCTCTCAGGACTGTCTAGGAGCCGCAGGGAAACGAGGGAGGGGAGGGCCAGCCTGGCCGGCCAAGCCCCTAGGAGAGGGCCCACCCCCCAAGGCCATAGCCAGGTGGAAAGGGTGGCGGCAGCTCCTCTGTGTAGGACCGCATCTGTCTCCCAGGATGGTCCCCAGGGGGCAGCCTCCTGAAAACCTCGGGACCCATGTTCCCCAGACAGCCCGCTCCTCACCAGGAGGCACCTGCACTGGGCACTGTTAGCACCACCGTAGAGCTCGTGTTGCCAAACACTTTTTTCAGGGGAGAAGTGGGGCAGCACATGACATGTTCTCATTTCCCTGGACACTTTTCTTCAGGTTCCCCAGGGTCTTGGGTTCATCACACTGGGGTGCCGTTTTCTGCTGGTCTTTTTGTCTGACCAGGTTAAAAGTTTATTTCTAAATTTACTATGAGGTTGAGTTGGCACTCCCCGCTCCCAGCCAAGTCCCAGCTCTTCGGCAGTCCTTAGGTGAACCATGCTGGTCGTCTTCCACCAGAGGGAGGGGTGCACGTCCTGCATCTCATTATCATCAGTAAATAAAGCTCAGAATGTCTGAGCAGAGGGAAGGCCCACGGAAGCAGGGAGGTCCGCTGCCAGGCACCCCAGACTTCCACGGAGCTCCTGCCAGCCACCTGCAGGCACGCCTGTCTCCGCATGCATGCACTCCCCAGGTCTCTCTCTTTTTAAATCTCTGTTAATTTGAATGACAAGGAATGATAATTCACGGCTTCTTTAGTTCCTCATGAAAGTAACAAATACAGGTTCCCACATACCAAAGGTAGATTGCTCCTATGAAAACTTTCATAAGCCAAAACAGCTTTCTGAAGAAGCAATTATCATTAATTCATTCAGAAAAAATGCCAAGCATTCCCAAGTCCAAAAAACAACCTCTCTCAGGCTTTTCTGATACCTGAAGACATATCTAGTGGATGCACAAAGCAAATCGAGATAAAGCCCAGATGCTCTCACAGTCCGGAGCTCTGGCAGCGTGATGCTGTGCGGCTCTGGGGAGGGCACTGGGTGGGGTGCCCTCGCTGCTTGCGGTGCGTGCTGCCTCTAACCAGCTCACTCCAAAACATGCTGAGCACTATTTTCACATTCTGCCTTTTTTCATAAAAGCAAAAATCCTCTTTGGGTTTCTGCTGGTTAGCACAATCAGGTTCTAGGGCCGTCTCTGGGAAAAGTGAGGTGGCGTGATGCGAACTTCCAGAAAGTGGGGGTGCCTGTGTGCAGAGTTAGAAAATCCAAACAGAAGCTCACCATGAACCCACCTGCCACCCCCACACACCCACTCGAGGGCCCCTCAGCCAAGCTCTCCCAGCTGCTGCTCCTGCCACTTGCCTTTGTCTGTCATCAGAGACCCCTTCTCCATGGCAGTGTCTATGGGCCCACTTCACCCTGGAGGGTGGGGCACACCCTCACCAGCAACTTGCCATCCAGCCACCCTTGGGCACGTGCCACCCTGCTCTATACTGGCTCGTTCTGCTGAGCACCGAGCTGGGCCCAGGGGCCACCACATCCTCCTCACCATCGTCCCCACCAGCCCCGCTGAACATGGGGGACAAGGCAGGCCTCAGCACGTGCCCCATGTATAGACCCACCAGTCCCAGCCCACTTTACAGACAAAGAAACGGATGCAAGAGGGATCAGGCAAGCTGCCGAGGGTCACAGTGACCCTCTGGGCCAGCCCTGCACTGAGAAGAGCCTTTGAGGGGATGTCTCCAGACCTGTCACCTTGCTGAGTGGCCAAGGCTCGGGGAACTGCCAGCTCTGAGAAAGGGTCTCACAGCCCCACCTCAGCGATCCCGCACTTCAGCACTGGGTCCCCTGAACATTAGTCGACCCCTCTCCCTTCCCACTGACCTCCTTGCCTTAACCTCCTGGATTGCATGTCTGATCTCCATGGCCCTTTGTATCTGCTCCTGAAGGGTAACAGCATCTAGCCCACTTTGAGGGGCGAGGCATCTCCTGTTCCCCCGCCCTGAGTGTTTGAGGCATGGGTTTCCTCCAGCTCTGTGCCAGCCCCGCCTCTGCCCTCTCCTCTTCCTGTGTGTGTGCGTGTGTGCACGTGTCAAGCCCCACCCATGCAGGGGGCCTCCCTCAGACACTGAGGGGCGGGGCGATAGTGCCCTGCAGAGCTGGGGGAGGGCCTGCGGCCGGGTGCTAGGGACCCAGTGGGAAGGGGCTGGGTTCTCCCAGGCGCTGCGGAGGGTCGCGCGCACACACACACACCTTGCTTGTTCTCGGCAGGCTCACACCCCCAAGCTGTGCCAGGCTGGCTCAGCCCCACACTCAGCCCCCTCCAGGAAGCCCTCCTGCTCTAGATGGGCCCAGGCTCTGGGCCGCCCATGTTTGCTCAGCCAACCCGCGGCAGACGTGGCAGAGCGACGGGCTGGCAGCTGGCTGCAGGTGGGGGAGCCTTCCCTCTGTCCCACCCCACAACGTGGCGGCCTTTCCGCTGCTGGTGATCTTCAATCCTCCAGAGAGTTCTCGCCTCCCAGCCCAAAAACTGGGAAGGACCCATTGAGGAAGAGCTGAACTTCCCTGAAACGTTCCCAAATTGGCCACATGGGTAAAGGTGCTCACAAGGAGGCACAGCCCTTGGGGCCAGGCCCAGGGCAGCTCTGAGGAGGCGGCTGGCCACCTCACTGCCCAACCCCACCTCAGACACAGGGCTGCTCTCCACGCTGGGGGGGCTCCTGCTGGCGGCCAGGGTACCCCTCCCAGCTCCTCAGGCCTGACGTCCACCCTTCTTACAGCTGGCACCCAGGCCAAGCATGGCGACGCCAGACAGACGGTCTCTGCAGCGGACACCTCGTGTGGGCCAGACAAGATGCCGAGGTGGCCCTGCCCCTGCAGGCCACCAGGCCCCACAGTCACCACAGAGACAGGAGCCAGCCACAAGCAGAAGCCCAAGTCCAGGGCCCCTCCCCAGGCAGGGCCGGCCTGCCCCCGTGCCAGTCCAAGGGCTAGGACCACGGGCCTCCCCAAGGTCCCGAAGAGGGGTGGGGGCTGTGTCTGCTCAGAGATGCCCCTGCCCTGGTGCCCCCACACCTGTGGCCCGCAGCCACACCGGCTTCACCCACTGCTGCTGGGGACCACCCACCCAGACCCATGTCGGCACAAAGAGAGGCAAGGGGCCAAGGACTGCGGGTGTTTGGTGGGGCCGCCCCCGAGTGCCAGGGCCTCCCCAGGGATAGGGGCACCATCCCCAGGGAAAATGTTCTCCTGGGGGGACCACACACAGCCACGCCCTGGGAGGAGGAGCGAGCAGGAGGCCATGCACTGGGAGTGGGGTCTGGGGCCACTTAGGGCAGAGGACAGCAGAGCCAGGGTCTAAACAGGCACAGAGAGGGGACAGTCTGAGGGTGCTACCCTCATGGGCAGCCCAGTGGGCAAGCCCCTGCCAACCCTGGAACGCGGGCCCAGTCTCACCCCCCTGCCTGACATGGGTCACCCATGATGTCATGATGGACATTGTGACCTCTGTCCCCCTGGGCGCATCCCTGCACCCTGTCTGCCCCCAGCTCCAGCCTCACACCCAGGCTCTTACATGCATGGAGCCCCTGTACTGTTGGTAAGGAGGGACCTTGTGCACTCCAAGGCTGGCCCTGGATGGTGGTGACCGTCCCCTCTAGGAGGGGTGATAGGCCTGAGCCCAGGCTGAGATGGGCCGAGACAGGCTGGCAGCGCTGCCCAGGGACTGCTGTAAATGGGTGGGATGATGCTGGCTGTGCCCGCCATCCTCTTTGGTCCCACCCCATTCACAGGCTGGGCCCGTGAGAGATCAATGGGGAGCAGCCCAGAGGAGGGGCACCTGCATCGGCTAAGCCAGCTGGACCAAGATGCAGGTGGGCTCTGAGCAGGGGCCAGGAGTGGGGGAAAGCCCCTGGCCGGACCACAGCCTCTTACCACCCACATGCCCATAGACCTCCTGGATGATGCTGCCACAGCCAGGCCCCAGGCCGTCCTCCCGGAGAGCCGGCTGCTGGAGGGGGAGAAGCCGCCATGCAGTACTGGGCAGGGCCCCTTCTTCTACATCGGAGGCACCAACGGGGCCTCCATGTGAGTGGTGGGGCCTCGGCTCCTCCCCTAGTGAGCTCCCCTCCCCCGCAGGGCCCCAGGCGCCAGGGCCACTGCTGCCTGCCCCCTGCAGAATCAGCTCCTACTGCAAGAGCAAGGGCTGGCAGCGCCTCCAGGACAGCCGGCGGGAGGATTACATGCTCAAGTGGTGCGAGGTCAAGTGCCGCGACAGCTACCACAGCTTCCGGGAAGGTAGGCATCCAGGCAGAGCAGAGCCCACGGCCCTCCTGCTGGAACTGTAGGCCACGCGGGCAGCGGTGCTGGCCTGGGCGGCCACGGCCCTAGGAAATCGTGGCCCTGGTTGCCGTGACCCTGGTGGCCACCCGCATGTCCAGGAATTTGTCATGCCAGGTGAACAGCTGCTGTACCAGCTCCCCAACAACAAAGTCCTCACCACCAAGATTGGGCTGCTCAGCGCCCTGCGGGAATACTCGAGGATCATGAACAAGACCAACAAGACAGCTCTGTGTGCCCAGGCCAGGTAGGCCACACTGGCCCCCTGGGCACCCACCACCAGCCCACCCAGCCCACAAACCCCGCCCACGCCCTCCACTCAGCAGCACACCACCCATCTGATGTGGCAACCCCATTCCTGACCTCCCTCCCTGGGATCCGTCCACTCACCACATCCACCCCCACCCGTCTTCCCACTGACCTTCCACAAACCCTCCTAAACACCTGCCACCACACTGTTCACTCACCCCATGGGCCACCCACTGGTGTCTCCGTTTGGCCATCCACTGCTCACCATGCCCACACCATCCAGCCACCCGCACCTGTTTCCACAGACCATCCTGAGCCATGCAGGATCTCAGTCACCACTTCCACCCAAAGTCACCCACCCCACACCTGCCCATCTACCTCAAAGACCCCACCCACCTCCCACCTCTCCAGATGCTCCCATCCACTCTCCACACACAGATGAGTGGCCACTCGGGCCAGACCCTGTGTCCCCTGGGGTACAGATCTAGAAAGGATGCAGCGCCTGCCCTCGAGGAACTCACGTGGGCCATCCCGGGGTGCCTTGGGCAGCAGGGGTAGGTGCACTCAGCCCAGCTGGGAGGTGCCCTTCTGCCCTAAACCAAAGGGCATCCCAAACTGGAGGCGCTCAGGGATGCACGCTGACCACTCGCTGCCTGCTGAGCCCTGTCCCGCCTGGGGAAGCAGCTCTGCAATGACCCCTCACAAACGCCAAGACAGGGCAGGGGGAGAGGCCAAGAGGCGGGGGAGCAGCCTGAGCCTGCAGAGAAGCCAGGTGGGGACCCACAAAGGACGGCCCCCTCAAGGGAAGGGGAGGGTCAAGGGCTCTGCAGGGACAGCAGAGAGTGGCCTCCCAGCCCAGCCCGGGACACGCCCTGCAGCCCGCCCCGTGTCCTCCCCACCAACCTGCTTCCCCAGGGTCCTAAAAATGGAAGAATTTTTCCCGGAGACCTACCGTCTGGACATCAGGGACGAGAGAGAGGCTTTCTTCGCCCTCTTCGACGGTGAGAGGACCCTAGACTCTAGGCCCGCTACGGGGAGACAGGTTCGGGGCGGGACCGAGCGGGGGCGTGGCCAGGGAAGGAGGGTGGAGCCGGGGTGACGAGGTCCGGGCTGGGGCTGAGGCTGCGGACGGAGGGTCTTGGCTACAGACAGTGGAGGCTGGAGCCTGGCAGAACCGCGGGTCAAAGCTGGGAGGGCGATGAGGCCGTGTCTATGCGAGGGAAGGGCTGAGATGGGCGTGATCGCGGCCTGCCTGGGCGTGGCCATGCGTGGGGGCGGGGCTTGGCTGCGGGGCGGGGCCAAACCCGGGGGCGGGGCGGGAAGGGACCGCGAGGGCCGCCAGTGGCTCAGGAGGTTTTTCTTTAGAAACCCAGATATGGATCTGCAAGCCCACTGCCTCTAACCAGGGCAAAGGCATCTTTCTGCTCAGGAACCAAGAGGAAGTCGCCGCCCTCCAGGCCAAGATCCAGAGCATCGACCACGACCCCATCTACCGCAAGATGCCATTACGGGCGCCGCAGCCGCGCGTGGTGCAAAGGTGCGGGGCGTGGGCCCCACGTGGGGTTGGTCAAGGAGGGGCTGGCACTGGGCCCGCTGGTGCCTGTGGGGGCTCACGGGGGTCGCAGGGCCCACAGAGTCCTTGGCCAAGGAAGGCTGTAGTGCCCGCCGCTGGACCCCTGAGGAGCCCGCAGAGATGGGGGTGTCACCGCCGATTAGGGTCCCAGAGGAGACAGCCACACGGACAGAGGTTCATGGACGTCGGGGCGGGGCAGGGAGGGCTTGGCCCATTTGTCGCGCAGCCTGGGCCCTGCCCTCTGTCCTGCAGGAGAGCCAGCCAGGGCAGGAACCCTTACAGCCAGGCTTTGCCCCATCCCCTGCCCAGCCGGCTACAGCCTTCAGGCCTGCGACCAGGCCGACCGCCCCTCCCTTGATCCTTCCGCCGCTGGGCGAGCTGTAGACAGGGCCTTGGGCCAGGGGATGCAGTCTCGGCTCCGAAAGTTCCCTTTGGACCTCCCCATCTGCCTTGTGGCCCACGCTCCTGCCACAGCTGCGGTCTACTGCTCTTCCCCCCCAGTCAGCAGTCCCAAGCTGCCACTCCCAGCTTCTGGGTCTTTAACGTACAGCTCCCCCCACCTGGGATGTCCCTTCCCTGCATCTCTCCAAAGCCACCTGCCCTTAAGGTCCAATGTCAGCCTCCTCCAGGCAGCCCTCCCTGCTCACAGGGGCCAATCTGCTTCTGCCCTCCAGGTTCCCAGTAAGAGCTGCACTCTGGGGCACCCCTGACACCAGCAGAAGGCAGGGACTCCTTCCTGATTCCTGAGCTGTTCAGGCTCAGAAGTGTCCCCTTACCAGTGGATACTGTACTCAGCCAGGCGGGGGTGCTGAGCAACTGGCCCACACCCAGGTCCACATCCATCAAATTCAGGAAGCCCTGTGCCAATCCCTGTGTGCCCCCAGGTACATCCAGAACCCACTGCTGCTGGATGGGAAGAAGTTCGACGTGCGCTCCTACCTACTCATCGCCTGCGCCACCCCATACATGGTCTTCTTTGGCCATGGCTATGCCCGCCTTACCCTCAGCCTTTACAACCCCCATTCTAGTGACCTCAGTGGCCACCTGACCAACCAGGTAAGGACCCCACAATTGAGGGCCCTCCCTGCAGCCTCAGGACAAGACCACTGCTCGTGAATGCAGAGTTCCACTGTAGATATGGCCCAGGTCCAAAGGCGGCCAGGGCTGCCCTGCCTAAGTCAGCACTGTGGCAGGACACCCTGGGGAGATGATCTCCCTGCACCCCAGCCCCAGGCTTACCCCCTGTGGGTGGGGATGAGGCACATGTAGGCGGAGGGGCCCAGGGCAGGGGTCTCTGTGACAAGCTCAGCGAGAGATCCCGTGGGCAGAAGTTCTCAGTGGAAGGTTCTTCCCAGGGGGCCCTCTGTGAACATCCATGAGGGACTCCATGGCCAGAGGGTCTGGGTGGAAGGCCTTGTGGGGGCCTGCGGCAGACACTGTCCCTGCACAGAGTCCTGGGAGGCAGGGCCTCTGAGTGCTCAGGGCGATGGTCTCCGGGCACTGCACTGCCTGCCCCCACCCAGTTCATGCAGAAGAAGAGCCCCCTCTACGTGCTGCTCAAGGACGACACGGTGTGGAGCATGGATCATCTCAACCGCTACATCAATGACAAGTTCAGGAAGACCAAGGGGCTCCCCAGAGACTGGGTCTTCACCACCTTCACGGTCCGTGTGCTCCCCCACTCAACCTGGGGGTGGGGGCCAGGCCAACGAGCGTCTGAACTAGAGCTCGTCTGCCTGTTTTCCTGTTGGTGGAAGCCAGCTGCGTGGGTGTCTCCTTACTTATTACTCCCGGGATAATTCACACAACCTAAAATTCACTATTTAAAGTAGGTTCAGTGCTTTTTAGTCTATTCAGAGGTGTGTGAAATCTCCCCAGAAAGAAACCCTGTCCCCATTTCCCTCCGCCTGGCTGCCGGCAACCACTCATCTACCTTCTAGCCTGGTGGGTCTCCCAATTCTGGGTATTTCCTACATAATATGTGGCCTTTCCTGGCTTCTTTCCCCTGAGCATAGCGCTTTCAAGATTCATCTATGCTGTAGCACATGTCAGTCTTCATTCCTTTTTATGCCTGAACAATATTTCATTGTAGGGATGCATAACTTGTCTTGATGAACATTCGTCAGTTGATGGACATTTGGGTTGTTTCCACCTTCTGTTTTTGAATAATGTTGCTATGAATATTCATGTACAAAATTTTGCATGAATACAGTTCTCTTGGGTATATACTTAGGAATGGAATTTTCAGGTCATATGGTAACTCTTATATTCAACTTTTTGAGAACTTCCATTCTTTTCCATAGTTGCTGCTGTATTACACATTCCTGCCAGCAATGTATGAAGGTTCCAATTTCTCCATATCCTTGCCAGCCTGTTATTTTTCTTTTTTTAACACAGCCATCCAGTGGGTGTGAAATGGTATCTTGTTGTGGTTTTGATTTTCATTTCCCCAATTACTAACAGTATTGAGCATCTTTTCATGTGTTTATTGACTATTTGTATATCTATTCAGATCCTTAATCTATTCTTTCTTGTTAGGGTGTGAGAGCTCTTTATATATTCTGAATACTAGACCCTTCTCAGATAAGTGATTTGCATATATTTTCTCCTGTTCTGTGAATTATTTTTCACTTTCTTAATAATGTCCCTTTTTGCACGGAAGTTTTAGATTTTGATTAAGTCCAATTTATCTATTTTTTCTTTGCTTATCCATGCTTCTGATGTCATATCTAAGAATCCATTGCCAAATCTAGGGTCATAAAGATTTGTGCCTATATTTTCTTCTGTAAGTTTTGTAGTATTAGCTTTCAGTTAGGTCATTAAATCATTGAGTTACTTTTTATATATGGTGTGAAGTAAGGGTCCATCCTTCTTCAGATGGCTACCCATTTGTTTTAGAGACTGTTCTTGGCACATAGTTGAAAATCGATTGACCAGATACGTATAAGTTTACTTCTGTCAATTCTATTCCATAAGTATGTCAATCTATCCTGATTCAAGGTCCACACTGTTCTGACTGCTGTAGCTTCATTCATTCTATTGATGTGTGGTGTTAAAGATTGATTTCCTTGTGTTGAATCACTCATATTTCTGGGCTAAATCCCACTCAGACATGATATATTATCCTTTAAGTATGCTGCTAGATGTGGTTTGCTCTACTCCATTGAGTACTTTTGTGACTTTCTTTTTTTCTTTTTTCATTACTAACTTACCTTGTTCAGGTTACTCAGATTTTCAATTTCTTCATGGATCAGGCTTATTCATTTGTCTAAGAATTTGTTCATTTCTTTTGTCATCTTATTTGTTTGCAATATAACCATTCATAGTATTCTATAAACAACTACAATCCTTTCTATAATCATTTGCACTTCTATGTAAGGTTTTTCTTTCTTGACTTCAGTAATTTGAGTCTTCTTTTTTTGTGGTCAAATAGCTAAGGGTTTGTCAGTTTTGTTGATCTTTTCAATAAACCAGCTTTTGGTTTCATTTATTTTCTCTGTTGTTTTCTATTCCATTTATATTCACTCTAATCTGTATTATTTCCTTCTGTTTGCTTTGCATTTAGTTTTCTCTTCTTTTTATAGTTTCTTAAGGCTGAAGTTTATAGACTTGGTCTGAGATCTCTCTTCTGGTTAAATAGGTGTTTATAGCCATAAAGTTCCCTCTGAACACTGATTTTATTGCATCCGTATGATTTTGTGTGTTCTATTTTCATTTTCACTTGTTGCCTAAGAGTATATTGCTCAATTTCCACATACTTGTGACCTATCCAATTTTCCTCTTTTTATTTTTTAATTCATTCCATTGTGGGCAAAGAACATATTTTGTATGATTTTAGCCCTTTAAAATTTATTCTTTTAACTGAAGTAGTTGATATACAAAGCCCTTTAAAAATTATTGAAACTCGTTTTATGTCTTAACACATTGTCTGGAACACCTATGAGCTTGCAGATGTGGTACTGAGGGGCCACGTGTATAAGGCTCAAGTTCAGGAGAGAGGTCAGGGCCAGGCATTAAAATGAGAAGCCAGAGACTTTCATCAGCAGTGGATGAGAGCGCATTCCATGTGCACTTGAGGAGAATGTTTTCCTCTGTTGGGTGCACTGTTCTGTCAATGTCTGTGAAGTGGTGTTGGTTAACAGTGCCAAATCTTCTATTTACTTGTCGGTCTACCTAGGTGTTCTACCAATCATTGAAAGAGGGGTATTGAAGTCTCCAGCTGTTATTATTGAACTGACTATTTCTCCCTTCAGTTCTGTTAGTTTTTGCTTCATGTAGCTTGAGGTTCTGCTGTTGGTCCTTGTTTATAATTACTACATCTTTTTGATTTATGATTATAAAATGTCCTCTCCTTTTTTCCAGTGACAATTTTTGTCTTAAATTCTATTTTCTCTGATATTACTATAGCCACTCCTGCTCTCTTTTGGTTACTGTTTGCATGATAAATTTTTTTCCATCCTGTTATTACTTTCAACCCATCTGTGTCTTTGAATCTAAAGTGTCTTATATATAGCTTATAAAGGATTTTTTAATGCATTCTGCCCATTTCTGTCTTTTAATTGGAAAGCTTAATCCACTTACATTTAATATATTACTCATAAGGTAGGACATACCTCTGCTCTTTGGGTATTTTCCTATGTCTTATATCTTTTTGTTTCTCAATTCCTTCATTATTGCCTCCTTTTAGATGTTTCCTAGTGTATCATGTCTAGCGTCATTTGTTTTTCCATATATTTTTCAGTTATTTTCTTAGTTGTTGCCCTGAGGATTACCGTTAACACCTTAATTTATAACAATTTAGTTTGGATTAATAGCAAGTTAATTTCAATATAAAATTTTTTTCTATATAGTTCTGTCCTTCCCTTTATGCTGTAATTGCTCCAAATTATAGCTCTATACATTGTGTGCCCATCAACATAGATTTATAATTATTGCTTCATGCAGTTGTCTTTTACATCAGATAAAATAAAAAAGTGATCACCAAAAAATACATTTATACTGTCTTTTCTATTTAACTATGTAGTTGCATTTATGGGTGCTCTTTATTTCTTCATGTGAATTCAACTTATTGTCTAGTAGCCTTTCAGCACAGTCCTACAACTGAAAATCTGTAGTTTTTGAATCTGAGAATGTCTTAATTTTTCCTTTATTCTTGAGGAATGGTTTTACTGGATATTGACTTCTTGGTTGACAGATCTTTTTTTCTTTCAGCATTTGACTATGTCACCCTATTGACTCTGGACCCCATTGTTTCTGAGGAGAGATTGGCTGCTAGTCCTACTGAGACTCCTTTATAATGAGTGCTTCTCTCTTGCTGATTTTGGCGTTCCTTGTCTTTACCTTTGGGAAGTTCGCTCACCGCGCGGGGATCTCTTCTGACTTTATCCTGCTTGGAGCTCACTGGCTCCTTGGATGTGTGCATCGCTTTCCATACAATTCAGGAAGCTTTCTACCATTATTGTCCGAGTATTCTTCCGGCCTCTTTCTCTCCTCTCCTTCTGGGACTCCCATGACGCATGTGTCTGCTTCATGATGTCCCACAGGTGTCTGTAGCTTTGCTTATTTTTCTTCATTCCTTTTTCTTCCGATTCCTCAGAATGGATAATCTCAACTGACCTGTCTTCAAACAGCCCAAATCTACTATGGAGCCCCTCCGGTGAATTTTTTTTTTAATACCAGTTATTATACTTCTCAATTCCAGAATTCCTATTTGGTTCCCTTTTATAATTCCTATCTCTTCACTGACATTCTCTATTTGGTAAGACCTCATTCCCATATTTTCTTTAGGTCTTTTCAAGTAAGGTCTCCCCAGGAGCCACCAGACAGATCACTGTAAATAGCTAAAATTCTTTGCAAGTCGGGTCCATTCTACTACCTCCAATACTGAGATGCAGGCTTTGTTCAGGACTATCACCCAGCTGGGGAGTGGGAGACAAAACCAACTAGGTCGAGGAAAAGTGCTACAAAGCTCACCGTTTTTACCAAAAGTCAAGAATCTTCCTGAATGGGCACTTCTCAGGTTGCTGCAAGGCTTTGGTTAGTTTCCAGAGTTCTGAAAAAGATCAAGTCTGACAATATTTGCCAGTTTTTGGTTGTTTTTATGAAATGGCTCACTTTTGCATGTCCTTCTTCTGCCTTTTTCACCGATGTTCCCCTTTGCCTCTCGAGCCCGTGCCAGTGCGGCCTCTTTCTTCCTGTTGTGTCACTGAAATGCTCGTCAAGGTCACCAGGGACCTCCGTGCTGCTAAGACCTCAGTTTCCAGTGCTTTTGTCCCCTGACCGGACAGCCACTTTGGAACCAGCTGCTCTCCCCCTGGCACTCCTTGTCTTGGAGCCCAGGCCTTTGGCCACTCACTCTCTGCCCCCTGTGCTGGCACCTTGTCTCCCGACCCCTGCTCCCTGGAAGCCCAGGGCTCAGCCCAGTGCGCCGCCCTTTGCATCCATTGGTGATGAAGGTCTCCTGGCACCACACGTAAACGTCAGGCCCCGACACCTCTCCTGGGCTTGGGCCTTCCACCCCCATGGCCCATCAGCGCCACATCTGCAAGCTCATAGTCGTCTCAGACTCCACAGTCCCCTTCCTTCCCTCGGTTGGTAAAGGCCCCATCCTTCCAGAATCTCAGAGGCTGAACACCTTGAGATGACTCTTCATTCCTCTTTCCACAGCTCATAATCCATTCATCCATCAATCGGCAGGGCTCTACCACAACACATAGGAGCCACCAGACAGATCACTGTAAATAGCTAAAATTCTTTGCAAGTCGGGTCCATTCTACTACCTCCAATACTGAGATGCAGGCTTTGTTCAGGACTATCACCCAGCTGGGGAGTGGGAGACAAAACCAACTAGGTCGAGGAAAAGTGCTACAAAGCTCACCGTTTTTACCAAAAGTCAAGAATCTTCCTGAATGGGCACTTCTCAGGTTGCTGCAAGGCTTTGGTTAGTTTCCAGAGTTCTGAAAAAGATCAAGTCTGACAATATTTGCCAGTTTTTGGTTGTTTTTATGAAATGGCTCACTTTTGCATGTCCTTCTTCTGCCTTTTTCACCGATGTTCCCCTTTGCCTCTCGAGCCCGTGCCAGTGCGGCCTCTTTCTTCCTGTTGTGTCACTGAAATGCTCGTCAAGGTCACCAGGGACCTCCGTGCTGCTAAGACCTCAGTTTCCAGTGCTTTTGTCCCCTGACCGGACAGCCACTTTGGAACCAGCTGCTCTCCCCCTGGCACTCCTTGTCTTGGAGCCCAGGCCTTTGGCCACTCACTCTCTGCCCCCTGTGCTGGCACCTTGTCTCCCGACCCCTGCTCCCTGGAAGCCCAGGGCTCAGCCCAGTGCGCCGCCCTTTGCATCCATTGGTGATGAAGGTCTCCTGGCACCACACGTAAACGTCAGGCCCCGACACCTCTCCTGGGCTTGGGCCTTCCACCCCCATGGCCCATCAGCGCCACATCTGCAAGCTCATAGTCGTCTCAGACTCCACAGTCCCCTTCCTTCCCTCGGTTGGTAAAGGCCCCATCCTTCCAGAATCTCAGAGGCTGAACACCTTGAGATGACTCTTCATTCCTCTTTCCACAGCTCATAATCCATTCATCCATCAATCGGCAGGGCTCTACCACAACACATATCCAGAATCCATGCCATCCTGTCTGCCTGCCCAGTCCCTGCCATGCCTTGCTTGGATCATTGCAACATCTTCCTCTCGACCCCTCACCCTCTCTCAGCACAGCAGCCAGAAGACCCTACTAGGGAAGGGACAAACGTGCCCCTCCTGTCCTCCACCAGCAGCTCGGACCTCACGGTCAAAGGCAGGGCTTCCCCACGTCCCCGCCACCCCCTCCATCCATGCAGACTCACTCTTCCCGCAGCCTCAGCACGCCCCCTCCTGCAGCCCCTGCTCTCCCTGACGTCCCACCTCCCACCCTCAGCCCCTTCTCTCCATCTTCAGTCTTTGTTCACTTCCTCCTTGATGAGGCCCACCCAGGCCGTGTCCCTTTCTACATTACAACAGCCATCCCAGAACTCCCCAACCTCTTGCCCTCTGTTTTCTCCATCAGCATTTAATATGCTCTGCGAGGCGTGTGATGACTTACATGTCACATTTGTTGTCTGTCTCTCCTGCCTCAAGTGCCCTGCTCAGGGGCAGACATTCCTCACATGTTCCCCTCACTCTTGTACCTCAGTACCTGCCGTAGGAATTCCACGTGTTTGTTGAAGGAATAAAATAACAGTGAATGAGTTTCTGTCTGTGAGCCTGTGCCGCTGAGGGTGTGAAAATGGGGCAGGTGTGGCTGTGCAGGTGGGAACCCAGGTGGGGTGCAGGTGGATGCCTATGTGAGAGCACCAGTGGAAACTCAAGTGAGAGCATGGGTGGGGCTTTGGGTGAGGGAACAGGTGGGGGTGCAGATGATGGTACAGGTGGGAGCATAGCTGGGGGGTGCAGGTGAGGACACAGGTGGGTACCCAGGTGATGTAGGTGCGGGCACACGTGGGGACATGGGTGGGCAGTGTGGCTGTGGCTGTTCAGGCCTAGGAGGTGTAATTGGGGCCCACAGGTTTCATACAGTCACCCTCTCTTGGCCCCACCCACAGAAACGGATGCAGCAGATCATGGCCCACTGTTTCCAGGCAGTCAGATCCAAGCTCCAGTGCAAGCTGGGTTACTTTGACCTCATCGGCTGTGACTTCTTGATCGACGAGAACTTCAAGGTGTTGTTGAGGCACCCCCAGGTGGGGGGCAGGAGGGGTGGCTGGTAGGCAGATGCAGAGAGGCAATCCCCTTGGTGGACTCTGCAGTCAGAACCCCCAAAGCCCTGGGGGTGGCGTGTCCACAAGGAGAGCTCCGCTCACCCTGCAGCTGGAGCAGCCCCCCAAGGCCAGACTCTCAGACCCCCAGTCTGAGCCCCTCGGGCAAGCAGGGGGAGTGAGACCGCAGAAAAGAAGCAACGGTCCCGAGTCCCTGGTCTGCCGGGGACCAGGGCCTCAGCCTCCTGCTAGCCAAGTGGTTGGGGGAGGGGTGCTGACCGGTGTTGGGCCCAGGTGTGGCTGCTGGAGATGAACTCCAACCCGGCTCTGCACACCAACTGTGAAGTCCTGAAGGAGGTGATTCCTGGCGTGGTCACGGAGACCCTGGGTGAGGCTCTTGTGCAGCCCCCACTACCTGCCAGGTCTTGGGTGCACCATCCCACATCTCCCCAAGGGCAGACGCCCACAAGCCCAGCTCTCCAACGTCCAAGGGCGTGCGTGGCAGCCACACCCTCACTCAGGCCCCGTCTCCCCCACCTCATCCCCACCCAGCCCTCCCCCCATCTCCCCCACCTCCTCCGGCCCCAGAACCTCCCCGCCAGCGGGGCAGACGGCCGCCGGAGGCTGTGTCGCGGCCCCTCGCATCCGGGCCCATGTCCCATCACCCTCCCGGTCCCCCCCAGACCTGGCTCTCGAGACCTTCGGGAAGAGCTCCGGAAGCCAGAAGATGCTGCCTCTGCGGTCGCAGCGCCGCTTCGCGCTCCTGCACAACGGCGACGCAGACCTACGGCCGCGCCCGGGGGGCTTCCGCAGCTCGCCTCCGCTCCGCGCCGCCGCCAGGCCTCCCGCCTGCCGCCCCGGTGGCGCCCCGGGCAGCGAGCCACCGAGAGCGGGAGGTGGGGACCCTACGCGGGGGCCCTCGCGCAAGGACGCGGGCCACCGGCGCCCCCTCGGGGACCTATAAAGACCACTTGTTACAAACACCGCCTCCGCGGCGCGGATGCCCCAGGCTTCCCCACGCGCGCTCCCGGGGCCCCGAACTTTCCCGCAGGCAGCAGCCTGCAGAGGCCAGGAGACCCTGGGCTATTGGTGAGGGGCTCATGGTGGCAGCAGAACCACCCTGAAGGCTGCGCCCCACGACTGTCCCCACGTATCCTAGTCACTGTGTTGTGCGTGAGCCCATCCTCAAGGTTTCAGGAGGCTCAGGGCCTCGGACGTGTCCAAGCTCTCTACCACCACCCAGTGCCCCGGCCAGCCGTAACCCCCTCGCCACACTGCCCCCAAGCCAGCACACACCCTGGTCGGGATCCCCAGGGTGCACACCTCCTACACCCCGCCACGAGTCCTGCCCTAACCTCTCCAACGGTCACCACTGTCACAAACACCCTCCTCCTGACATGCCCACACTCAAGTCCACCCCACACGTCAGTGGGTCCACCACTGGCGGGACCTATCTCCCCGCGATCAGGCTGCTCCACAGGGGCGGTTGTCTCCATTCCCCGGAGGCAAGGACCGCAGCACCCCTAGAGGGCGCGGTACACCACTGGATCCCAGCCAGCCCACAGGAGGGGCGCAGCCGGGGAGCCAGGAGCAGGGAGGGGCTGGGGCTCAGAGTCGTCCCCAAGGTCAGAGTTACTGGGGCCCACGTCCAGGGCCAGGGACCCACCTGTCCAGCCATTCCCATCCTGCCCACCCACCCCTAAGACAAGCTCGGCCACTGCCTGTATCCGGGGGCTGAGGGAGTGAAGACCAGCCTCCATCCGGGAGAGGCGGCCCCCTGCATGGGCTGAATGCACCAGGTCTTGTAAAACACACAACTGCACCTTCAGGGGCAGGGCCACGTTCCTGCTGGCTCCCAGGCCACTACACGACCACACCCCCTCAGGGTCACCTCCTGATACCCCAGCGGGGGGGGCCACAGCTCACAGGCATCTCCTCACGTCCCACCCACCTACCCTGCCACAGGTTTGCCCCACATACTGTCTCCTGGTTCCTGATGTACCCCAAGCTCAGCCAGCCTGTCAGTGTGGCATTTGCGGGTGACCTGAGGCCTAAGGGAGATGCCTTCCCCACTTCCCTGGGCCCTGAGTGGGTGCAGTGAACCATGCGGACCTGTGATGTGATGAGAAGTGACACTGACCTGGCCTGCCCTATCTTGACTGGACCCCCAGTTGCTGGGTGGGGAGCTGCTGTGGCCAGAAGCCCTTCTGGGAACAGGGCGGCCTGTGGGCCCTATCTGTTGCTCTTGGGTCCCTGGTGCCCTCTGAGAGCCTGAATATCAGTAAATGAGGTTTCCTGAGACCCACTGCTGTTCTTCCCACACCCCTGCACCTATCTGGATTCTCTCCGGGCCCCACCCAGCTCTCATGGGGCTCTGAACTCACCAGAACTGTAAGGATCACCAGGAACAGACATGCAGAAGGCAGAGCCAGGGGTGCTGTAGGCAACAGGGAACCTGAGCATCTGAAAGACCCTGGACACCTGGGGCACCTGGCATATCTGGGCCCCTGGAGCACCTGGGTATCTGGAAGTGCAAGGAGTGCCACAATATGCAAATGATATTCTGGGCAGCAGGCACCGCAGAGGTCAGGACCCCAGAGGCTGGAGGAGGCAGCCTCATCAGGGGCTGGGGTGGCTTCCCTGGGGCCCAGCACTGCAGTGCAGTTTCTGGTCCTCAGTGAACTTAGGTTCCAGAGGCTGAGCGTCCCCCCAGCACACCCTCCTCCGGGGGCGTGCTGGCTGGTCCTGCTGGCGGGCGGGAACTCAAGCACGTCCTCCTACCTGCAGAAGTTTTGGGTTCAAGCTGCCCTTGGCTCCAACCCAGCCCCACCCATGGACCCCCAGCATCCCTGCAGCCTCCGTCCTGAGAGCTGCCCAGCACAGACCCTCCCCTGGCACCCGCTGGGTCTGAGCAGCCAGTCGAAGAGCCCAGGGCTTGAGGACATCCCTGTCAGCCCCTCCCCAAGGACGTATCTGAGAAAGGGTCTGGGGTAACCCCAAGCTGAATCACCTTCTCAGGAAAGCACCTCGATTCCTGAAACTTCCTGGAAATGACCAGCCTGGGCACAGCCACTTCTTGGGGTCCAGGGCCCTGACAGACACCTCAGGGGCCAGCCAAAAGGAAAGCCCCTTCCTGACCTCGGAGCTCAGCTCAGAATGGAGAGGCGCATCTGTGTCCTGAATGTCCAGGAAACCGGGTTTTCCTGGCTGGGGACTGGGGGCAGGAGTGATGGCCCCAGGCCCTGGTCAAGCCCCTGGTGGCCTGGCATCATGGACCTATCTACTCAGCAGGTGTGCCTGCCCTGGACAGTCCCCTGCAGCTGCCTCGGGGCGGGCATGGAAGGGCTGGTGGCCAGTTCTGTCTAGGATGAGCCCCTGCCCTGCCCCACCACAGTGTCTCTGTCCAGCTGGAGGGTCCACACTGGCTGAGTCCAGATCTCAGTACAGGGAGGGGCAGGGGCCCCCTCGAGCAAGGTGAGGGGGTGGGGGCTGGGTGGGGAGCTGCTGTGGCCGGAAGCCCTTCTGGGAACAGGGCGGCCTGTGGGCCCTTATCTGAGGCTGCACGATGTGGTGGACTCCAACCCCAGGGGGCGGCACTGTGGTTTTCCGGAACAGATGGAGCGCCTCTCTGGGGTGGGGTCTCCAAAGGGCGCAGCAAGGGTCCTGAGCTGGCCTGGGCAGAGTCTCACCTTGGGGTCCCCCTCAGGGCTTGGTGGCCCGGAGGTCAGGCCTGACCGCCAGGCTCTGCAGGTGGGCCCAGGAAGCTGGGCTGAGGGTGGGGGCTGGGTCCTCCCAGCAGTGCCAGCCTCTGCCCCTTCCCATGCCCGCCCGTCTCTCTCCTCCCAGCTGGGCTTGCTCAGGCCTCCCCTCTAAAACCTGTGGTGGCAGCCTCTGCACTCCTGCGCCCTGGGGTCTCCACCTAGACCTCCGGCCGCAGGTCTTGTGCCCGCAGCCCCACACCCGCCCTGTGCACCTGAGCTCTCAGGAATCCCAAAGGTGAGCCCCTGTGTACCCCCTTCCCTACTCTGTGCCCTCTGAGCTGGGACACCAGGGCTGGGCCAAGCTTGCAAATCCTGGGGTTCTGGAGGCACCACAGAGGCTGCCTGGGAAGGAGGGGGGAGCACAGGAGCAGGCAGAGCTGGGCACTGTCCCTGTCCTGCCTGCCCGGCCTTGGAATCCCCCACCCCCACGCTGACTTTCCCAGTGCTGTCACCCGACGGTCCACCCACGAGGAGTTTCCACGCTGAATCAACACTGAGTCACAAGGCCCCTTGGGACCTGAGCGTGGGCGGCGAAGGCCCACAGACCTGATTCCCATTCCCACCAAGGCAGCCGTGAGCACCCCATGTGCCCAGCCTGTGGGGGTGGGGCAGTCAGATGACCCAGATGAGAATAAGTCCCAAGGAGAGCCGGCCTTCCCAAGTGGGGCCGGGTAGGGGGTTGGCCAGACTGCCCATCAGGACTAGGTGGCAGTGAAGACCAATGAGTCAACTCGGGGGCTCTCCAGGGCCGCATGCAGGTGGGAGGGTGCATGGGCACTCCAGCACTGGGGCTGCAGGAGGGAGGCGAGGTATGCTGGCACCTGGAGGCCACTGCTGCTGAGACCTGTCTCCACAGGCCCACCTGCCTGCCCTGCATAGCCCTGGGTGCCAGCCCTGCCAGGAGGCTGGGAGCCCGCTGCTCACCTCCACTGGGCAGGACCCAAGAACCACGCCCTGAGGTGGGGTGGCGAGCTTGGAGAGAGGTGGGGGCTGAGAGCGGACCACTCGGAGGCTGTCTCCCACCACCAGGAAGTGCTGGGTATAGAGACTGGCCTCTCCCGGGACTGCAGCCTGAGTGACACTAGGGTGGGTGCCCCGCAGGGGCCAGCAGGCTCTGCAGCCGGCCCAGAACCCAGAGTCCAGAGCAGCAGTGACCCAGAGGCCAGACACAGGCCCTGGACCCAGCTGTCCCAGTGTGTGCCCCGCAGACTTCCAGGGGCAGGGGGCTGCGTAGGGCAGCACAGGGGCACAGGGGGCAGGGGTCCAGCACGGTGCCCCTCGTCCAGGACACCTTCCAAGCCCTGTGGTGTCTGCTGAGCACTTGTTCAGGACTGGGCTGGACTGGCCCTGATTTCTGTGCTGCCCACTCCCACCCAGGGCAGGACAGGCTGTGGGCCCTGGAGAGGGGGAGGCCCCGGAGTCCGCGTCTCACCTCCCTGTCCCCCAGCACGCATCTACTCGGCTCAGAGACAAGTGTTTATTGAGTGCCGCCCGCAGCCAGTCCTGTGCTAGACTCAGCGCACCCCGGGCGCGGCTCCTGCTCTGGGGTCCAGGGCCCACAGACCTCACCCCACAGGCCCGCGAGGGAGGGAGGCGGCCGCAGTCGTGTCTGCCTCCCACTGGGTGCGGCCACAGCTGCCGCCTCTCCTTCTTTTCTGGGGGGCCCATCACTGTCACCGCCCCCCACCCACTTCCACCATTGAGGGAAGCAGGGCCGGGCCCAGAGGTGGGGCCCCACAGCAGGGCGCTGAGCCCTTGCTCCCAAAGGTAGGCGCTGCAGGAGCTCCCAGGAGGGTCTGCCTCGGCCGTCTGGCAGGGGACCGCCAGGCCTCACGCCCACAGGTGCCCCCGCCGGCCCTTGTCCTCTGACAGCCGCTCCCCATGCTCTTCCTCAGGGAACTGGCAGCTGCAGGCGTCCTCGGCCGCTGGCGGTGCCTCCGGGAGCAGCTGGACCTCTGCAGAAGGGCTGCAGTAAGCAGGCAGGCTGGGGGCCGGCGCCCCCACCCCAGGGCTCAACTGACCTGGAGGCCATGCTTGCAGCCTCTTCAGCTGCCAGATGTGCAGGCCAAGCTGGGTGGCGGTCAGAACCAGGACGCAGGCCACCAAGGTGAGCAGCACGACGGCCAGCAGGCCGCGAGGCTCGGCGGGCGTCAGCCCCGGGCTGCACACGGCATTGTGCGTCCTGTTCCCAGGGAACATGGTGGGGAACCCAAAGCGGGAGCAGCTGGGACACAAGACACGGAGCCAGGTCAGCCCCACCCTCCAAGCGGGCCCTGCACACAGCTGCTCTGCCCCCGCTGTCTGGGGGTGCCATACCAGAAGGGTCAGGAGAGGCCCTGCCCTGAACAGCCCAGCCCCCTGGAGGGCCCAGGACTCACTCTGCCCAAGGTTTGCAGCGGCCTTCGCGGCCCTCAGAGAAGGTCCCTGTGGCACAGTCCACACACTCGAAGCCGAAACTGAACTTCCCTGGAGACAGACAGGCAGACAGGCTGCGGGGTGGCTGGGGGTGCAGTGGAGGCCATCTGGGGCTCAGGCCAGCCAGAGAATGACCACACACACCTCATCCGCTCAACAGAGGTCTCTGATGCCCCAGGACCTGGACCTGAGGTTCACCAGCGCCCTGTGGGCCCCGCCTAGGGCAGGCGTCTGTGGGTGCCTGGGTTGAGCGGAGGCTCCGTGGACAGACGGGGGGTGGAGGGTGGGGGCGGGAGAGTAGGAGTGCCACAGAGGGGAGGGAAGGGGAGCGGAGGGGCCGCCTGCTGCAGGCTGGAGGTTCTAGGGGCGCCGGGAGCAGGTGGCAGTGGGGCAAGACCAGGTCGGGCCTTACACTTGGTCCACTGGACTGAGGGCAGGAGGCCAGTGAGGGTCCTGGGAAGAGGGAGTGAGGCTGGCACCGCTGTGGACACTAGACTCCCCCCAGGGCCAACCTCACACATGCCCCCAGTCAGCACTCCTCCCAGCCCCCCGGTACTCAGCCAGGCTACTCCCACCGGGAAACAAGCAAAGGAGGCTGAGAGGCTCTGTCCAGAAAAGGGGTTGGCCCGGGACACTGGGGACTGTCCGCCCAGAGGACATGTCTGCATGCCCCCGCCCTGCGCTTCCCTCCACACCCTCCTGCCCCTTGCTGGACACCTGCTCCTGTGAGCTCTCACTGGGTCCCCAAATACCCTGGCCAGCTCCTGCACAGGCACCAGCGATTTACCTTGAGGCCGAACCCCCTGGCCAGGTGGGCATGGGTGGTGTTTGCAGACCTGGCACTGTGGGTCTCCACAGTGGTACTCGGGTCGCACACACACGCAGCTCTGCTCAGGACAGACTTCGGCTGGACAGGAGACAAGCCAGCCTTCTCAGCAGCTGGTGGGAGCCCCTGCCTCCCCAGGCTCCCCACAGCCGTCCAAGGGAGCAGGTCTGTCAGGGCAGGGCAGCCCCTGGCCCCCACCCTCAGGCTGCTCCAGGAGCCAGAGAGAGCCTGTCTGGGAGCTGGGGCCCTGGCTGCACCCAGTGGTGTCTCTCCTCCATGAGTGCCCAGCTCTTCTGCCCACATGGCCTGGCTGTGTTCGTTCCCCTTACTGCCCTGAGGCTGCTCCCAACCACAGTGGCTGGACTCTGGCACGCTGCCAGAAGCTGTGTCTGCTGGACAAGGCAGTCGCCGGGGGACCCACGCCCCTCCCCTTTCCATCCCACACTGCCTACAGCTGCCAGCACCCTCAAGGCAGCCTGGGCACCGCATCTACCACACTGAGGCTCAGGACCCTCAGAGCTCCCCTTACTGTCCCCCAGATCCCAGCAGGGTGATGCTGGGGGAGGATCCCTGCAGTGTTTGTCCCCAGACTGGCACATTCCATCTGCTTGGAGTCAGGGGTGGGGGGCTGCGAACACTAGCTGGGGTGGCCTGCTTGATGGCCAGGGGCTCACTACCCACTCAGGGGAACCGGGGCCGCCCTCCACCGCCTCCGGACCCCAGACCGTCTCAGGAAGGCTCTGCGCCCGTCACCCCTGCCCCTCTCTGGGCCACTGGCCTGGGCTGGGCCCGCCTCTGCCTCTCCGGGATCGCCCCGGGATCCAGAGCTCTGGAGCCAGAAAGTTTGCCCGCCGCCCCACTTTGTGCGCCGCGCCTTACCCGAGGCGCACGAGCGGCAGCAGCGCGCATCCGTGCCCGTCCCGAGCAGGAGGAGGCCGGGGCCGCAGAGCGGGGCCCCCGAGGAGCTCTGGCCCAGGCCGAGGGCGCACAGCAGAGCGACGCCACACAGAGTCAGCTGCGCGCCCCTCGTCCGCATGGCCCCCAGAGCCGGAGGGCGCGCGGGGATTTTAGGGGGCCTCGGCCACGCCCCCAGCCGGCCACGCCCAGACCCCGCCGCGCCCCCGCCGCGCCTCGGTGAGCGGGAGAAGCCAGCCCAGCAACCGAATCGGGTACAGGCGGCGGGCAGAGGGTCCGCGGGCGGAGCCGCTCTGGGTGGCAGTGGCGGGCACTGTCTGTACACTCTTTCCGAACGGCAGAACACACAGCTCGGGTGACGGTCAGGGTGGTGATGGCTGCCCGCTGTACCAAACGCACCGCTCTGCGGGGAGGGGACGCGCTGTGGGGGAGGAAGGGGGCGCAGGGGGCGCAGGCGAGAGGGTGGGCGCCGGGGAGCGGGCCCGCGGGGGAGGGAGCCGTGGGGTATCCCTGTACGTTCCTCTCCATTTTGCTGTGAACCTAAAACTGCTCTAAATAAAGCCTATAACTTTTAAAAAGTCGGTGGAGCCCTGCAGGACCTCAAGGGGACAGAGTTCCAAAGCGCAGGCTGAAGCTGGCGGGGCCGCACCGCGGAAGTCAAGGAGGCCACGTATGGGGGCCCCTTTGGCCCAGAAACTCCTTCCGGAGCTAGATACACCCTCACAGAGCGTGTTGTGGGGGGACGCCAGGCACAGCCCTCATTTCCAGTCCCGGGTTTGCAGGGGTGGCAGGCGGCACCCTGAGTCATCACAAGTTGGCAGTGTCCACAGGGTCTGGTGCAGGGCCCCCCCCCCAAGGATGGAGCTGGCCTGGGACTGCCCCTTCGCTGCACCCCATACCACCTGCAGCTTCCTGGTGGGATGGAGAGCTCCATGGTCTCTTAAAGATCTTCTCTGACCGGTGAAGCTTAAACCTGCCTCATCACTTGGAAGATGAGCTGGATTTTAGTAGCTGGCTTCCAAAGAATAGAGTAAGAGCAGTGAAAAATCCTCTTCACGGTGGAGAAGCCCGGCTGCCACCGAGGTGAGTGCTGAGGGCCGCTGTCGCTGCCGTGCACCCACACGTATGATATGAGGAGGCACCCCACCTCTGTGGTATTCTTTCCAGATCTCCATAACTCAATCTATTCATGAGAAAAACATCAGGAAAAAACCTATTTGTCATTTACCTTTTAATTTTGTATATAGCAAAATGTTTACCTCTTTTCATTCATGATTTGTGTGAATTCTTTACATTTCGAATTTCTTTCATCTCAGAGTCTATGTGATGTCTGACTAATGATCTTGAAGAATTTTAGACTCATGAAAACAAAAACAGACTGAGCTGGGTGAATGTAGTGACCACACTGTTTTTTCATGTGAAACCTACATAAGAGTGTATTTCAATAATATCTGAATAAAAAAAATCTCTCACCACCAGGGGTGGTGGGATGATGTCACGCTCTTTGAAGCCTCCAGACCCCGTTCCTCCCACGCCTGTCCATGAGGTGGCCCTGCCCACCGATCCTCAGGGATCCGGGCACTGAGCAGCCTGGGAACCCATCTGGGAATGGGGAGGAGCACGCACTTCCTGGGTCAGTCCCCTCCACTTGGATAATCAGGCCTGGTGGGGCTCCTGCCCCCCACAAAACACACACTTGCAGGTTGCAGCAGGGCAGACGCCCTACCCACAGTCCAGAGCCCCAGGGAAGCCCCCTTGCGCCCAGCCGATTGCTCCTCAGGACTTGGGAGGGGGCGCTGGCCAGGTGGCAGGCCTGAATGCCCAGCTAGTTCCACCTCCGACCTCCCGTGACAAGCCCAGCTGTCCAGAGGGTGGGGGGGGCCAGCCCCTCTCAGAGCTCCGGAGCAGAGAACTCAGCCCTGGATTCACTGTGAGATGGTCCCTTGTCGAAGGCTCAATCTCCTCGGGTGGCGCCAAGGGGCTCTGAGGCCCTGCCTCCCCAAGCCTCCCGAGATTGCTTGGCCTTATTTCCCAACCCTGCAATTGGAGTTTGGCGCAGGGGAAACTGGTGAAGACTCCTGAGAATTCAGGGAGGCGGGGAGTGGGCAGTGGCATCTCAGGAATGTGACCGTGAGTGTCCTCGAGCTGGTGCTGCAATGGCTGTGATGTGGACAGACCCAGGAGACCTGCGGCCACCACCTCACTGACTGGGTGGTGGGCTCATTCTGAAGGGTAAAGGCAGGAACTGGCAGCTTGTGACTCAACTGTTGTTCTCAAGTCCTCTTCGTCTGAGAAGCACACAGGCCGGTAGGAAAGGGAGTGGGTGCTAGGGCAGCTAGGACTCCCAGCTACCAGGGACCTGGGGAGTCAGGTGAAGCTCTTGGGTCTGGGGAAGGCACCTGAGGTCTCCGTTCTGCTCCTCCACGGGGAAGGGTCTGGACACTGGGACAGAAAGGGGCGCCCGTCCGGCTGTACCTGGATGCCAGGTAAGGTGCTGTGCAGTTCTGGGCCTTCTGTCACTGCAGGCCTGAGAGGCCGGGTCTGTGCCCACACAGGGTCACCCTGATTCTGGGAAGCACCCATACACTGTGGGCCCAATAAATTCGATAAATCCCCTACAATGGTGTTTGTCTGATCATGGCCCGTGTCAGTTGCTCCTACTGGAAGCAGGGACAGAGTCAGAACCTTCTGGAATCGGTTTGGGGAGGGGTGTGGTCAAAGGTGACAGGGAAGGCAGCGGGGCTGGCTGGGAGAATTCCGGGAAGATGTGCACGGGAGGGATTCTGGGGTGGAAGAAGCTGGCCCCTCCATCCTGCCACCCACGGTGGCACGCAAGTCACAGGGCCATGGGGAGGGTGGCTTGTGAGCAAAGCCCTCAAAAGGCAGGAGTGACGGCAGCAGCGTCAGAGCCCACGCCTGCCTTCCTGCCCCGCCGTGCCGGAAGGCCCCTTCCGGGGAGGCCACAGGCTGTGTAGAAGGGCAGAATTTCTGTACCAGGCAGAGCGCGAGGGGTGATTTTTATCTGCTTGTCAGTATTTCCCAGGGTTTTATGAGCAGTTGTCTTTGCATCCTTTATCTGAGCTCACACAAATAACGCATGTGCAGGCAGGGGTGGGGCCGGGGTCCAGGTGGTAACCAGCGGGAGATCCATGGAGATGAGGGTCTGACAGGGTCCTGGAGGGGCCGGTGTGGGCACACCATCAAGCACCCATGGGCCCAGGGGCAGTTCAGCTCAACACCCAGGTCTGGGCTCAGGCAGGGCCTGGAGTGGAGAAAGTTTGGGATTTTTCAGCAGAGATGGACACGGGGCAAGAGGGATGGGGAGTGTGCTAAAGGGGCAGTGTGGAAGCAAAGAGGTGACCAATTTCCTCCATCCAATGGCAGAGATGGACCGCCGGGCAGGGGCAGGGGGTGTCCTGGCCAGGGGAACAGCTGGAGGTTTGGGAAGGAAGCCCTTCCCCATGACCTTCGACTTTCCAGGCCCCAAGGACTGGCCCCTCCTCCCCTGCCCACCCTCACAGCCCCTCTATCAGGTCCACGGCCTCTCCAGGCTGTCCTGGGGAGCATCGGCCCCAGACCCGGGGTGCCGATTTGCTGCCCGACCCAAGCGCAGGGTTGCCCTGTTGTGCTCACTGATGAGCCCACGCCAGCAGCTCGCAGGGACCCAGGAGCGCACGCTCACCAGACGGGCCAGCACTGGGACTGGGGTCTGCATGGGGGACGGACGGGCATCCGAGTGACTCTGGGGACAAAGCTGCCCAAGGACTAAGGCAGGGTGGGGAGGCACTGAGGCTCTGCCATACAGACCGGGAGCCTCCACACTGCACAGAGGGTCAGAGCGCCTGGCCTGCAGGGCCGCAGCAGTGGTGCTGGGCACCTGCCAGCAGGCATGATGCCCAGCAGGATCAGCCTGGGAGCTGAAGACCTGCCCCTGCTTGGCCGGCTCAGGAGGCACTTGCCCAGTGCCCACAGCGGCCGGGTCCTTCTGTCTCGGGGCCTTTTGCTCGGAGCTGCCTGCTTTCATTCACGCCTGGAGACACCAGGTCTGCCCATTCGGAGACTGGAAGGCACCCAGCTGGCCTCGGGTGCCTCGGGGGGCCTGCGGGCATCGGTGGGCATTCCTGGGGTTCACCACACAGTAGCTCTCACAGGACATGGCACTTGAGGGGCCAGAAGAAGGAAGAAGGGCAAAGACCCAAGAGCCCGCCTCGAGTGTCCTGGCCCAGGAGCCCCGGCCCCACCCTCAGGCCTCCCACCTGGGTTTGGGGTCTCACCGCAGCAGCAGCTCCGGGACTTGCCCAGCAGGCCCCCATCACTGAACCTCCCAGGATAGTAATTTGGGCCCCACCCACTGGCAGGTACTGGGATGGGCCCAGAGACTGGGGCAGGACAGTGGCCCGGGGGTCTGGCATGGTCTGCTTGAGGCCCCTAACCCACAGCCTGCCCTAGTCAGATGTGCACAGCCCCCAGCCCACTGGTGCCAGTCAGAGACCCATGTGTGCCAACATCGTTTATTGGGAAGAGGGGTGCCACCCTGGGCAGGGGTATGCATGGCATACATAGCAGAGCCCAGGAGCCAGCCCAGGAGCACCTAAAACGGTGCAGGGCGGGCAGTGGGCAGCAGGATGGGGAGCGACGGGTGATGGGGTGACTAGGGTGAGAGGGTGGAGGTGTGATGGGGTGATGTGACACAGGGTAATGGGGTGATGGGTGACAGGCAGGGGGACCCTGTGGCAACGGGATCTGGTGGTCTGTGCCTGGGGATGCTGCCACTGCCCCCTCGAGGTCAGGCAGACTGTTTGGGCCCCTGGTACCAGCTCTCACCCCAGCAGTCGCTGCTCAGATCTTGGCCAGCGTGGAGTTGGCATCGGCCTGCTCCTCTTGGATGGGGGTCCGGAAGCTGTTTCCCCCTGGAAAAGAGAAAAAAGTGAGGGATAGCAGGCAGGAAGGGGTCTTACCCCTCCGGGAGGGGCCTGAACTGAGCTCAGATGGGCACTCACTTTTGAGTGGCAGCCGCCAGGCCCTGTGGTGCAGGAGCAGAGCAAGAGCTGTGGCCACAGGAGCAAGCAGGCCCAGGCCCAGGCCCAGGACGGTGGCCAGCTGGGGACCTGTGGGGAGGCAGGCCTGTGAGGGGGGGTCCGCCCAGGAGGGCCCCAGCGAGGCAAGGCAGGTCCTTCCTCCCACACCCAGCCCCATTCCAGGTTGGCGAAGTTCCCTTACCCCTGGGGGGTTCTGTGGGGGGTGTGGAGGGCTCCCAGGAGGCCCTGGGCCAGGCAGCAGTGGGCTGGGTGGTGGGGTGCCAGTCTGGGGGGCCCTGGGTCTCCCGGGACGGTGTGTCTGGGGGGGTCCTGTCCTCACAGATGGTGTCGGAACTCCCGTTGGCTGGCCTCAGTGTGCGCTTTCCTGCCAAGGTGCAGCTGACGGGCAGGGTGCTGGTCAGGCCGGAGCCCCCACTCCTCCCCTCTCGGTGGACAATGCGTGGGAATTCAGCTCAGGCCCACCCAGGAACCTCAGCCTAGGCAGGACCCCTGTGGCCTCATGCCACTCCCCTGGTCATGCTGCGCCCCACATGGGCTCCTTCTGGTCTACCTGCACCCTCACCATGTAAGTCCTCCAGGGACAGGGCCTCCCGCCTGGATGAGTGAGGGGCTCACACACCTTCGGGCTTGGGGGCTCACAGACTCTACTCTGGCCCAGCAGGAAGGCCAGTGGGAGGAGGCTGAGTGGGGAGGTCGGGGCCACTGTGGGGGGCAGAGGCCAGCATGCTGCTCCCAGGACCCCAGTGCCAGCCCCACTAGCCTGGGACTCACTTGGTCCAGGGCCTGCAGGCCTGGTTGTTGCCTGGGGAGAAGTGTCCTGGGGGGCACGGGGCACAGTCTGTAACAGAGGTAGTGGGGCAGGCTCAGCCCATTTGCTGCTGCCGCGGGTCCTGAGGGTTGCAGCTGTGGGGGACCAGGCGCACCCCCCACAGCCTCCCGAAGCCCCGCCTGCACATCCCGCCCACTCGCCCTGACCTGAGAGCCTCCTCCCCATCATGGCACTACCTGTTTGGGGGAGGGGCACTTGGCCCAGTCTGGGGGGTGGGAGGGGTGACAACTTGTGATGTGGGCAAGGTGCTTCTTTCACCTGGTTCCCAAGGCCCCGGGCCCCTGGTGCACACACCGCCCTGCACCCTGCGCACTCACCCACTCCACGCTTGTAGCCATCCTGGGGCTGGGTGCCCGGCCTGCAGCGGCAGACGGTGTCCTGTGTGGCCGTGCATCTCTGCTGGGGCTCGCTCCCACTTTCTGGGGGTCAGGAGGGTGGGCACAGTTTGCTGGGAGGCGGGGGCTTCAGAGCATGCTGGAGGACCCAGGCCAAGCTTCCTCCCACAGGCCAGCCACTGCCTTGCAGCCCAGTGGCTCCTGGTTCTCTCCGATCCCTGGACCCCATGTTTCTCCCGGCCACACGGCCCAGGGAGGCTCCCCGCCAACCTGCAGCAAGACCCTCCTGGCCTTCAGCTCCCTGGTCTGCCCCCACGGCCACGTGGCCTGTACATGCTCCACCCGACTCCACGTGGCCCCGGCACCCCTGGGAGGAGGAGGCGGCTCCAGGGGTGCCTCTGCTCCTCGCAGGACCCCTGGGCGGAGCAGGCCCCTCTGTGGTTTGGGGTTTGCTCTGTGGTGAGAGCCCGCGGCCTCCCATGCCCATGGGTGCCAGGCAGGAGGGCTCACTCTGGTTGCACTGCGTGCACGGCTTGCAGGCCTCGTAGTTGGGCGCCTCGTTGTAGAAGCCGGACTCACAAGGGCTGCACACTGTGTCGCTGTGGCCACTGCAGCGACTCTCCATCCCATAGCCTGTGGCAGGATGCAGGCGGGACTCAGCATGGCCTGGCCACCACCCTCCACACCTGGCCTCGGGCTGGCCCGCTGGCTCCAGGCCACCCACCCTGTTATCCTGAGTCCACTGCCTCAACACCTGTGCCCTATAAACCCCATCTGTGCCCCCATGTCCATCCACATGGCCCCGTCCCTCTGTGCCCGGCCCCCAGCCCCATGTCTCTGCAGCCACTCCTCCCCAGCTCTGGCCCAGCCACTCACCTGCCAGGCACTCGTTACAGCACCTGTTGCCTTCAGGGTAGGTGCTCCCACCACAGCTGAGCCGGGCCGCGGCGCCCAGCACAAGTCCCAGGAGCAGGACGGCTGAATGGGGCGCCCTGGGCCACTGAGCCCCCACACACATCCTCGTCTCCACTGGCGGCGCAGGAGTCTGGGGTTTTTCCTTGCAGGATGTGGCTATAAGGGCTGCGGGGGAGGGGTGGGGAGGTGGGAGGAGGAAAGAGGCCCCAGGTAGGGCTGGTGACCCCGACCTGGGCTGGTGGCAGGAAGGCAGGTTGTCTGGGCAGGACCCCTCCAGGCTGGGGGCTTTTCTTCTGCCCAGGGCCCCCAGCCTCTCAGCAATGCCACTGACCTCAGCCAGCTCCCAGGCACCAAGCTAGACCCCTCTCACAGTGTGCAGACCCTGGGGTAAGGGAGGACTGTGGTGCCCAGCCCTGCCACAGCTGGGCCAGGCTTCCAGCGCGTCTGCCCTGCCCCCCACCCTGGACCCTCCCACCCCCATCAGCTGGGGAGGTGGGGCCCCACTGGCCACGCACCCTGGTTGCCCCCCTGCCCTGCCCAACCTGGACCAGGGTGGTCTCACGACCCCTCCACATGACTCACCCTCTCTAGGCACCCACCTTCCCCGCACAGGACAGGCCCAATAGGAGAGGATGGCTACCCCTGCAGGCCCCACTAATGCCAATCCTCAGCTCCTCAGCAAAAGGGTGCCCAGAGCATGTGGGTGAACTGAGGTAACACATTGGTTCAGAAGACAGGCCCCCTCACAGCCTGGACCTTCTCGTGGACATCAGGTGCAGAGGAATGGTGGCGCCCAGGCTCCAGTGTGTGGTCACCAGTCCAAGTGTCCAGTGCAGTGTCCAGTGGCTGTGATGGACCAGATGCCCCAGGGCCAGTGGCCACAGTGAGGGTGCTGAGTGCACGTGCAGGGACCAGAGCGTGTGCCTGAGCAAGGCAGGGCTTGGGACTGAACTGGGTCCCCAGATTCGTATGTCAAAGCCCTGACCCCTGCCGTGGCCCTGCTTGGGAGACGGGGCCTTTGAGAAGCTGATTCTGTCCCTTCATGAGAAGTGGTAGAGACCCGAGGCGCACGCAGAGGGAAGGCCCTGGCGGACGCGCAGGGCCAGGAAGCCGGCCCTCCTTTTGTCCCAAGCTTGGGACAGGGCAGACTGTCATCCAGCCACTGCCCAAGCCACTCAACACATGCGGCTGTGCAGGCGCCTGTGTGTCACCTGTGTCCCTGGCCCCAGGTGCCTGCTCCCATGAGCACCTGGCATGTGTTTGGAGAAGTCTGTGGGGACAAACACAAACCATCAGTCAGGTGCTGATGAGGACCAGGGTGGTCTCACGACCCCTCCACATGACTCACCCTCTCTAGGCACCCACCTTCCCCGCACAGGACAGGCCCAATAGGAGAGGATGGCTACCCCTGCAGGCCCCACTAATGCCAATCCTCAGCTCCTCAGCAAAAGGGTGCCCAGAGCATGTGGGTGAACTGAGGTAACACATTGGTTCAGAAGACAGGCCCCCTCACAGCCTGGACCTTCTCGTGGACATCAGGTGCAGAGGAATGGTGGCGCCCAGGCTCCAGTGTGTGGTCACCAGTCCAAGTGTCCAGTGCAGTGTCCAGTGGCTGTGATGGACCAGATGCCCCAGGGCCAGTGGCCACAGTGAGGGTGCTGAGTGCACGTGCAGGGACCAGAGCGTGTGCCTGAGCAAGGCAGGGCTTGGGACTGAACTGGGTCCCCAGATTCGTATGTCAAAGCCCTGACCCCTGCCGTGGCCCTGCTTGGGAGACGGGGCCTTTGAGAAGCTGATTCTGTCCCTTCATGAGAAGTGGTAGAGACCCGAGGCGCACGCAGAGGGAAGGCCCTGGCGGACGCGCAGGGCCAGGAAGCCGGCCCTCCTTTTGTCCCAAGCTTGGGACAGGGCAGACTGTCATCCAGCCACTGCCCAAGCCACTCAACACATGCGGCTGTGCAGGCGCCTGTGTGTCACCTGTGTCCCTGGCCCCAGGTGCCTGCTCCCATGAGCACCTGGCATGTGTTTGGAGAAGTCTGTGGGGACAAACACAAACCATCAGTCAGGTGCTGATGTCCCTGCTCGGCCCCAGCCCCACCCCAAACCCCCTGGGGCTCAGGCGTTCCTGCCGCACCACGGGGACAGAAAAGACTGGTGAGCCCCTGGGACTCCCGGGAGCACTGGGCGTCCTCGCACAGGACCAGGCGCCCCAAGCAGTCTGTGAGCTGGACCACTGGAGCACTGGAGTGCACTAAGGACAGAGCACGTGCACCCACACACGTGCACACACACGCACACGTGCGCACGTTACCTGTTTCTTTTACATAAAGCTCTGTTATCTGGGCGCCCCTGAGGCGGGGGAGGCAGTGCTGCACCTCATCTGTCCTTTACAATCTTCCCCATATGCTCGGATTATCTAGTCAAAGGTGAACATTTGCGCTTCAGGCAGAGCACCTCCCACAGGGATAAGAGTGGGAGGCGCTGGAAATTCCCCTCTGAAGAGGAACCCAGGTGAAAGGCTGAGTTCCTCCAGCCCACCTGGGAAATTCCACCTCAGCTCTGCCTGGCAGAGGCCCCAGGCTTGGGCCAAGAACAGGCAGGCCCCACCACGGGCAGGGGCCACAGCAGGGCCAGCCCCCCACAAGCCTCCAAAGTGAGGGGATCCGCTCGGTGGAGCGGGTGGTGCTTGCAGCCTGGTGCGAGTGTGAGTGCCTGACATCCACTGATGGTGGAAAAATTGGGGACCTCAGAGTCGAGGTACCTCGGACATGGGAAGGTGTGCTCCACTCAGGGTGCCCCTCTCCCTCCCCAGGGGCTGCATGGGTCTGGTGCCCTCTGGCAGCACTTCTGCTGTCCCTCCAGAGCCTCCTGACGGAGCATCCACTCAGGGCTGACCCGCGGGGCACACCCTGCAGGTCCCCACATGCTCACGGACACAGGCTCGGTGGCGCCCGTTCACACCTCACACCTGCTCGCAGCCATCTCAGCAGCACAGGGCTGGCTGGGACAGGGACCCGCCCACCGCCAGCCGCCATCTGTTCTGAAAACAGCCTTGCCTCTTGTTTGTCTGGAAACCAGCCCAGGTGTCACCGCACCCCGGTTCCTCAGCAGCGCTCCACCCCACACTGCTCGGAAGTGCTGGGGCAGGTCACACGGGCAGCCCAGGGTGGCCCCTGACCCACCTGGCCAGAGCCCCCTCCCCAGGGGGGCCTTCAGAGGCCGAGCGGACCCACAGGCTGAGAGCTGTCTACGGAGGCACCACGGCCACAGGGCAGGGCTCTGCAGGGCTGACCGGCGGAGGGGGGCTGTGGCGGGCAGCTAGGCAGGCATGTGGGCCCAGGGACCTGCAGACGTTCAAACCCTCCCCGGCCCAGCACCAGCCTCGCTCTGAGCACGGCTCACTTCCCAGTGAGGGCCTGGGGTGGCATGGGCACTGTGGGCTGGTGGGCCAGTCTAGCCAGATGGCAACCCACCCCAGCCCGTCCCCAGAGAGCCGCTCTCTGGGGCTCGCCCTGCACCTCCCCTTTCTACTCTAGGCTCCCAAGGCCCTTCCCTCCAGGCGGGCTCACCCAGGCCAGGGCCCCAGGCACCTGACTTGGGGTCTCCAGACTCCCCTCCCGCTCCACTCTGCAGAAGCCCCCCAGTGCCCAGGACCCGCACAGGCCCTGCCAGTGACGCTGGTCCTGCCTGGAAGCCCTCCTCCAACCCCTCTGGCCACGGGGCCCATGGCCTGCCTCACCTCGCTCCCCTTGGTGCAGCCCCATGAGCCCTGTGCTGACCGACCCGCCCACCTCAAGAGCTTCCAGGGAAGAGCCCTGGCCACACATGTCCCAGATCGCCACTTTGGTATTTGGGGCACAAAAAAACAAAGGTGGGATAACAAGGCAGCTATATTTTAAAGAGATCTTGTCACAAAGCTGCACTTCCTTGGGGACAGACACTCGCCGAGCAGTTCTGACGTCACCCCACACCTGGGGGGCCGGCACCCCGGGGCCAGCTACTGGTTTCCAGCAAAGCACATTCTAGTTCTGTCTTCATCTTTCAGTTTTCAAGGAAACAGGGGCCTGTTCCCACGGGTGTGACGAGTCCGCGGGGCCCCGATGTGGCCAGCCCAACGGCTCGGGGTTCTCAGAAGCGAAGAGGCTGTGACGCCCTGGGACTCCCGCGTACCCTGGGGTGGGCAGGCAGCATGCAGGCCCGAGCCGGCCTGTGGCGTGCGCTGCGGGGGGACACACGGCCTGCCTGGGCCCCGAGTGGTGGGGCAGCGGGACCGGGGGCGGCGTCTGGGGGCCCGGCCGGGCGGGCTCAGAACTCCTCGTGCACGCTGCGCGCGTAGTCCATCAGCTTGCTGCCCGTGAAGAACTCGCTGTACTTGAGGACCTCCTCGGGCTCCAGGTGCTGGTTCTGGTTCTCGTCGGCGATGGCGATCATCTGCTTGGCCTCGTTGAGAGCGTTGTACTCGTTCATGGGGTCCATGTAGTCCTGCAGCACCGTGCCGTCAGTGCCTGCACCCGCGCCACCCGGGCCTGGGACATTCCGTGCCCACATGTCCCTGACATCGCCGGGCCTCCCACGGCAAGTGCCAACCTCACTGCTTCACGTGTAGCCCACATGCAGCGGCAGGGCCTGGAGGGGGCCAGGTGCCATGAAGATGCCCCATCAGAGAGGCCAGCACTTCTGCCAGGAGGCAGCAGCAGGCTTTAACACTAAGGCCAGCTACAGAAAGTGCCCCAACACCCACCAGCTGACAGACCAACAGCTGCAGGACAGGAGTGGGGATGTGTTCTGGAATGTTCTAGAAGGCAGATGCCACACTGGAAGTGGCTCAGGGCCAGGCAGCCTTTGTCCATGTGGGCACAGGGACCAGGCTGCCTCGCAGGCTCCACCACTGAAGGGAAGGGCCAGGTGGTGGGAGAGGAGGCCCTGCCCAAATGTGAAAAGCCCAAAGAGTGGGTGCCAGCGGGCACACAGCACATGGGACACGGCCAGGGATGGAACTAGCCTCCAGCAACATGGCGCTGAAGCAACCCAAAAGACAGGGGCAGGGCTATCGGCAGGGACCTGAGGACTCTGGGGTACAGTGAGATGACTCATCCAGCAACGGGAAGGAACGCGGCACCCACACATGCCACCAGAGAATGAACGCTTCTGAGGAAGGTGGTGGATTCCTGAGTGCCCGGCCCTGATGGCCGCGGCGCAGCAGCTGCCCAGAGCCAGGAGGCCCGTGCCCGCCCAGCACCGACCGTGGCAGCGCAGGCCTCACCAGGCTCCCTGTTTCCCGCTGAATCTGAGCACACAAGGCAGTGGTGATGCGGCTGGGCCCAGGAGCACGGCGGCCAGACAACAGCGCGCACAGGGCTCAGGCGGCTCCAGGCCCCGAGGACTAAGGGTCTGGGTGACAGCTCTCTGGCCCCGGTGGGCCCGTCCCATGGGCACAGCTGGTGGCCTCAGGGCCCTGGCTCACTTCTGGGCGGAGATGACCCACAGCCCCAGCCCGGCGCTCACCTCCAGCTCATCCATGGTCACGACCCCGTCGTGGTTGGCATCGATCAGCTCCTCAAACTCCTTCTTCCTGTCCCTCACCCAGCCATCGTCCATGTCCTGACCCTGCTGATTCTCCACGGTGCCCACGGGCAGGGAGATGAACTCGGGCAGCGAGAGCTGCTTGTCCCCGTCCTGGTCTGTGGGACGGGGGGTAGGCACTCAGGCCCCCTGGGGGGAAAGGCAACCCACCCGGATCTGTGGCCAGATTTCCAGTTTGTTGGATTTTAGCCAAACCAAAATGGGTGCATCTCACAGGACCTGCCTGGAACCCAGCTGTGGCCGCTGGCACCAGACAAGGCCTCACCTTCCCTCTTGGGGCAGCTGTGCGGCCTCCGGGGTCTCTCCAGCCCAGGGCCAGCCCACGCTGCCCTTCCCCAAGAGGGCTGGCTGGAAGCGGCCAGCAAGCCCGCCGCCCGGGCCTCACCCAGGTCCCGCACGATCTCCTTGACCATGAACTTGAGCATGCCACGGCTGTGCTCTGGGTGGAGAAAGGACAGGAACTCCTCCTCAGTCAGCAGCAGGTCCGGCGGGGGGCTGTCGGCCTGGTACCAGCGGTCCCTCAGGTTCTCCAGGACTTCCTGTGCTGAGGGAGGCACGTCCGTGAGGGTCTGGGCTCTTGGGGTGCCCACATACATCAGAAGTTCTGAGACATGATGCCCAGTGCAAAGACCTGGCGGTGGGCGAGGCCAAGGGCTCTGACCCTCAAGACCGCTCGGGCCCGAGGGAGGCAGTGGTGAAGACCCCCGAC